ATATTAAGTGGCACAATCATCTCTGAAAGTCCGGTCGCGTTAAAGAGGATTTAAACATCGACGGCTCACCACTGAATCTGGCAACGTCGAGTATGCGTCCCGGTGTCAGAAAACACGGACTCGCCAGAGGGAAATAACGCACAGATGGCAACAGACTCTGTCTGTACCTATCACCGATAGAAGCTTGCCCGCTTTCTCTCTGCTTTAGGCAAATTACTCGGGTCCACTATAGATGGCAATCGTATATATCATGGTTACTCATGTATCCAGCAAAAGAACACCAAAGAGCTCAAAGACTATTTCAAGAGGGTCCTACTGCACTGGGATTTTTGGACAACACCAATGAATGACACTGTGTGTATGAATCTATGGGAGGAAAATTGAAAAACCATAAAAAACCCAAGCAGAACAGGAGCATAACATACAAACGCAGAAAGGCGCCCGAGTCAAGAATGGAGTGCATGCGCATTTTGCTCTGAGGCAGTGTTACCACTGAGACTGAAAGCAAGGTAGAACTTTAACTTCACGCTGTCCGTAACCTACGAAGGAAACTAATAACCATGTGGGATGTACACATTGGAGGCACGTAGGAGTTCAGCTTTTCCTGCTAAGGATGGTGAGGAATAATGAGTGGCAGCCAAGGAATGGAAGGCATCCTTGAGGACGCCCACCAAGGAGATCATCAGCATCATCAGTTGTGGCAATCCACTGCTGGATGAAGGCCTCCCAAAGCTGCTGCCACCTCTTGGACACGTTCCATTCCTAATGGAGCGTTGAAATCAGCTGGTGCGTAGGTGCCGGGTGGATTGCTGGGTGCCAGAAACCGTGAGAGATGGAGCCAACTTGGGGAGGTCTTCATCCAGCGGTGGACTGAAAAAGGTCTTTACATCATTGCGATTAAGGATGTAACAAATATTAATCTCTCTAGCCCTTCTAAAACATCATTGCGGTGTCCATCAATCGCCAAGTCACGATCGCCTATGGCTATCAGATGGAATGACAATGATAATCGTGCATAGACACACTGTAGCAGCCGTAACCCATCGAGAGTATGGGTGGACCCCGCCACAGGGCCTCGAAGTCTGAACAACTCCGAGGAAGGGAGGATAGTCCTGACTGCATGGGGGAATGTGCTTCCACACGGTGGTGCACATCACACTTCTGTGCAACGGCCAGGGTAACACGCGGGGTATGGTAAAGACAAATATTCCCCGTGTAGCCTTAACAGACTGTTGGAGCAAGTGTTGTTAGCGAGCAGCACCTATGAAGGCCGGCACGGCACGAAGGGGGCCGCGTGACCAGCACGACGCCCGGCCACCTTTGTCTCCCTAGTGGCGATGTTTGCACATTGCACCAGGTACTCATTTGAGGCCGAATCGACCTAGGGGAGGCCCACGACCGGTTCAGATAATCGTCACTGGTGTTGGCGTGAGCGGAAATCGAACTCGGGTCGCCGGGTTCGCAGCGCAGTGCAGCGTTGACCGCTGCACCACCGCGTGAGAACGCGTGCAGTGTAAACACGGTTAACGTGCTCCTGGTCACGCGATGATTACCCTCTGGGCAACGCAGCTAGGGTAACACGCAACGTAGTAACGCGGTCCGGTAACAGCGTAAAGCATTACCGAGTAACGTATTAGTTAGTAACGTATTCGTTAGTAACGCGGACTCCAGGCCGCGCTTCCGGGTCCGAGGCCGCGCGGTTCCCGTGCCCCTGGGCCGTGGGTCCCAGCCGGGGTCCACAGGCCCCGGGTCTCGGAGTGGCCCGGGTCAGAGGGTGGCGCCTCCCGCCCACCGCGGCCTCGGCGCGGGCTCCGCGCCGTTGCCAGGCCGCGTTGCGCAACGCGGAGCCGAGAGGCGGAGACTCCCGCCCGGGGTCCCGCCCGCCGTGACCGGGGCTCCAAGAGGTCTCGGGGGCCCAGGGGGCTCGAGGCCCGGGGGCACACGGTCCCTAACCCTGAACCCGACTCTTACCGGCAATCACACTGCGGTGGCGCCTCCTCGCCCCGCGTCTCCACCGCGCCCCCCCCCTCCTCGTGTTTCTCTCCCAGTGTTTCGATCCTCGTGTCTTTGCTCCCCGTATGCCTCGCTGTGTCTCTCTCCTCGTGTCTAACCCAGTGTCCCCGTCTCCCCCTCCCCCCTCGTGTCCCCGTCTCCTTGTCTCGCTCTTTATGTCTCTCACAGTGTGCCCGTGTCTCTGTATCCCTGACCCCGTGTCTCTGTGACCGCCTCTCTGTCCCCGTGTCTCCCCGCGTGTCCCCCGCGCGTCTCCTCCTCGTGTATCCGACTCCCCCCGCGCTCCCCACCCCCCGCGCCCCGTCACGTGGTCCAGCCTGGGGCGGGCTCGCCGAAACGTCACGCGCCGCCCTGACCAATTAGCGCCCGCCTGCGATGGCCACGTGCACTCTCAACTGCCGGTTACCGATTACTGATTATCAATGGTCCGGAGTACTGATTACTCCTGGCCAGCGATGACTGATTACTCGTGGTCCGGGATAACGGATTACTCGTGGTCAGGGATTACTGATTGCTCGTGATCAGGGATAACTAATTACTCATGGTCCAGAGTACTGATTACTCCTGGTCAGGGATTATGGATTACTCGTGGTCAGGGATTACTGATTACCCGTGGTCAGGGATTACTGATTACTCTTGGTCCGGGATTACTGATTACTCGTGATCAGGGATAACTAATTACTCATGGTCCAGAGTACTGATTACTCCTGGCCAGGGATGACTGATTACTCGTGGTCCGGGATTATGGATTACTCGTGGTCAGGGATTACTGATTACCCGTGGTCAGGGATTACTGATTACTCTTGGTCCGGGATTACAGATTACTCGTGGTCATAGATTACGTATTACTCGTGGTCTGGGATTACTGATTACTTGTGGCCAGGGATTACTGATTACTCGTGGTCCGGGATTATGGATTACTCGTAGTCAGGGATTACTGATTACTCGTGGTCCGGGAGTACTGATTACTCGTGATCAGGGATTACTGATTTCTCGTGGTCCGGGAGTACCGATTACTCGTGGTCAGGGATTAATGATTACTCATTGGGGAGGGACACTGGTAAACGCCTCGGCGACAGAGTTTCCCAGCATCTTCTATTAGCTCGCCGTGCAGATATCGTGTCCACGCCAGGAAATCAGAATTTTCATTTATACTGGAGGAATCCGATTAGCTATAAAGCTCTTTTCCCAAAATGTTCAGTATGGGTGGGTGAAAAGTTACAAAAACAATACAAAAACACGATAGGAATGCAAGGTATAGAAAATCACACAAAAAAACTTAAACTAAACTTTTATTTAACCAGGTAAAGCCCACTGGGCGATTAGCTTATTTGTAACAAGTGACCTGACCACAAATTATAGTTCAACGAAGTGGCTCATCATGTGTACATGGAGAGCAGCCACACAACTTAAATAATCTAAACGCAGGTTTCTCTATACGTGGAGGGGAAAAAACGGAGGACCTGGAGAAAAAAATCCACGTGACCATGGGACAGAGACGTGCAGACTCCAAATATACAGGAGTCAGGGTCGGGATCGAATCCCCGACCTCCTGCACACCACGCGAGGAAGGTAATATCACGCCACCGTGTCGGCCCTTATAAATAAATAAAAGTATATATTTTAAAAATCTAATTGCATGAGTACATTGCATCAATTTACAAGCTTGGGAAAGGCAGTAAAACAGCTAAAATTGTCCTAAACACCAAGACAACACACAGTCAATAAATTGTACATTAAAATTGAACTATCGATATATGGGTAAGGATAATAGTTACAAATCACATTGGCAGAACGAGACCAGAAGGAGGACGGAGCTCGGCCGCCTCGTGTTTAATCTGACACCGCGCAACGGACGGGGCTAAATGAATGACTCACGTTCACTTAAACCATTACTACGCCGTGGCGTCGTTTGCGAGACGAGGCCACTGTGTGCCGACGTCATGGTCCGAATCCCCCATGAGGATTCATAGCAATCATCGCCCCCTGCTGGGAACTCTTAGAAAGAGCCTCCTGGTCCTCACGAGAGCCGGTAAACAAGCGGAATGCATTCGTGAAGCCGAAGTGATTTTCCACTCAAATGAGCATTGAGCCATTCATTGGTGCTTATCTCCTGTTTACAGCCCGGGACCAGTGGTGGAAATTCCATGTTCTTATGGCGGAGGTGAATCTATCCATAGGACAACCACTGTTGACTTGCAAACAAAGTGGTACTTACTCGATTTGGTGCTTTCGTGACTGCAGGAATTAATCTTTGTTTTTTTCGGTAAAGTCACGTAGAAATAAGAAAAAATAAAATTACATAATATACGACGTTTCGATTGCAACACAAGCAATCATCATCAGGTAGAGGAAACACATAACCGCAGATATATACAGACCTTAAGTAGAGGGAATTAACACAGATATACCAGGGGATACAGAGAGACGGAGCATCACACTAAATCAAACAGGGTTTAGCAAAATTTGGAAACTGTATAAAGCAACACAGTCGGTCGGTTAAAACACAAGACCATGCGTTAATTGTGTTTTAACCGACCGTCTGTGTTGCTTTATACAGTTTCCAAATTTTGCTAAACCCTGTTTGATTTAGTGTGATGCTCCGTCTCTCTGTATCCCCTGGTATATCTGTGTTAATTCCCTCTACTTAAGGTCTGTATATATATCTGCGGTTATGTGTTTCCTCTACCTGATGATAATTGCTTGTGTTGCAATCGAAACGTCGTATATTATGTAATTTTATTTTTTCTTATTTCTACGTGACTTTACCGAAAAAAACAAAGATTATAGTGGTACTTATTTTGTCGATCCAGGATTGACGATGGGCTGAGTCAATCCCTAACCAGGCTTTGCGCTGGCAACTTTCTCATTGCGGGCCGGACCCTAACCAATACGTTCGAACGCAGTTTGTTTGACATCGTTACTGAACACAGACCTAAAGGCCTAAAATGTTGAACGGCCTGCAACAAACAGCACGATCAAATATGTGATTATTTTTTATTTAATGCATAAAGCGTCCTCATGAAACCACATCTGACGGCGCCGTCCAGCAAGTGAGAGATGCAAATTCTATGGAAAGGATACATATTCATTATCGAGCGAGACAGAGACACAACCGGCGCAGAAGAGGTCTCGAGCTTGGACTTGAACTGGGGCAGAGTCGACAGCACGTGTGTCTGGGCGAGCGGAGTTCCCGATCGTAAGGGTGTAGCAACGAAGAAAAAGCGACCTCCCCCTGAGTGAATCAAACGAATTATTTAGGTGATGCTGCGTTACTAGTGGTGCACAATCACAATGAACTTTTGTCAATAATACTGCCTTACATGAAGAATATAACAAATAATTATTTGGGTCATGGTCCTTCTTCATAGCACGTAGATTGAGAGGTTAGAGAATTCCAGCCTTGGTTGCTGGAGCAAAAAGTGTGTGGAGCGGAGTAGAGTGCGATTAGGTTTGCTAAACGACAACCATTAAACCGGTAACCGTTTTCAGAATGTATTGCCGGTTCCGAACGTCGGAAAGAGTGTCCAGTGGAATGTGAGTAACGGATGGCACAGGGAACGTACAAACTGCACGGCAGCCTGAGTCACCGCGTGGTACATTTGTCCTCTTTTTTGTTCCAGTTAAAACGGTCAAGTCGCAGCCAGAAAATGGCTGCGACTTGACCGCTGATAAAGCAGAGGCGGCGGGGAGGTTTTCAGAAACTCGCCCCATTGTTTCAACTTCCGCGCCGGGAAAAGGAATCAAACCGATGGGCTCTGGATTGATCATAAGTTCCGTGGTGCTGCCGACTCCTCCACCGCTGCGGCGGCTCCCTTCGTGTCCCAGTTACAGAGGTGAACCCTTTGATGTTCATTGCCAAGATTATATTTTTGTGGCAAACCCGTAACCGGTTTTTACATGCGGTTACCGGTAATGTAAAAAAAAACGATTCAACAACTGCGGTTTATAAGTGTCGTGACGGGACCTCGAGGGGACGAAGGGGATAAGGGGACAATTTTAGAAACAAGGTCTGGGGTGGGGGGGAGTGACACACTGGGCTCGGGAATGGGGTGCGCACAGAGCCTCCTCATCCTTCTTCTGGGGAAGCCGGAGCCCTCGCAGGGGTTGTTAAAAGGACCCTCGTAGGGGTACAAGGGCCCCCCGTAGAGGTCCCGAGACCCCTATCCCTCGCTCGCCATGCAGGGCTGCGGGGCGCTGGTGTGCAGTGCGTTTGAGTACAAGACGGAGAAGCTGATGATCGCGCGGGACCGCTCGGTCGGGGTGGTGTACCGGCTCATGCAGCTGGTCATCCTCGCCTACATCATCGGGTGAGCAGGGGTCAGTCAGGGCGAATCGGGTGCGGTGAGTGATGTGAAGGGGTCACTGGGAGTGAGTGAAGTGAATGGGGGTAAGGGGACCAAAGTGAGTAGGGTGAGTGAGGTCGGCGAGTGACTCAAGGGGAAAGATTGAGGGTGAGTGGGGAGAGTGGGTTTAAGGTAAGGAGGTGTTCGGGTTTAGCCGGGCGAGTGAGGGGACCAGCGTGAAATGAGGTTATGGGACGCGGGGTGAGTAAAGAGAAGTAGGTTGAGTGAGTGGGGTAAGGTGAGTTGCTCGGGGTGAGTGAGGGGGGGATCCGAGAGCCACACATGCAGCTACTCGCGTCGAGGTGAAGCGCGGACAGACGCGGAAAGGGGGAGACATGAAGGCACGGGGCGAATGAGATGGTGAGGGTCATATAGTGAAGGTGAGTGTGGTGAGAGAGTTGTTGGTGGTGATGGTGGATATTGAGAGCACACAAACACGATGGTACTTTTGAGAATATAATTGGCCATGGTGGTAACTATAGGGATATTAGTGATTATATTGATGGTGGCGATGATGTAGCAGCTGCTGTCGAGGCCATCTCCTTACTGCCTCCTCGTGGGAGGATCAGAATACTGGGCCTCCACGCCTTTTCCGTCTCTGTCTCCGTGCCCTGGCGAGATGGGCCCTGGGTCTCAAAATGGTTCCCCGGCGCGGCCGTCTTTGTTATTTTCACCAAAGAATATAAATACTCGCGCGTGGGCTGCCTCCGGTATTAATAGCCGCGCTCGGGTGACCTCCGCATACGATGCCTCACAATGAAGTCGCGAGGGCGACGCCTGGTATGGCGGCTACACACGAGAGGAATGTCTCGGCTGTGTAACGAGTCCCTCCTCCGCGAGGGCTGCACCGCACCGGCGAGCAGCTGGGGAACACTGGACATGCCACCACCACACTGTCAGAGAAATTCTCCATAATACTCAATAACCACCTGCAGGAGCCACCGCCTCCTGGGAAGAATATCCGAGTAGGACATTGGGGTGCGAGTTGCAGCAAATCGAGGTTGGCACCCGGACGGACTCACTGTGTTCCCTCCAAGGAAAAAGGGGCCGTGCGCCTTGTTTGCATAATTCCTGCCCACACATCGGGGTCGCCACCTGTCGGGGTTACTGGAAACCCCGGTGTGTGGGGGCATCAGGAATTGGGTTAGACCCAGACAGTCCGGGAACTGGTAGCTGTGTTCAGGTGGCAGCAATTGATTAGTACTGAAATATGGTGCTGGTTTTATGTGGAATTTTATTACAGGACCTTACACAGCTATGCTACACCCAGGACTTGAGAGATTTGTCCGGATTTTGTTTGCGAATATTGTTTGAACTCCACCACATACTGACATTGGGGCTGGCATGTGTGGTGCCTCCAGGATTTTCAGTCACCCTTATAATGCAAGTGCGAGTACCGACTTTTCCACCAGCGTGAGACGTTGCCGCGTCTGTCAAGATGAGCGGCTTCACATCGTTACAAATCATAGCGCAGAACTCACTGCGGAGTTGATAACCTCGCTTCTCATTGCGCCTGTCCTCACAGCCGCGTAACGATAAGCGGATGTTTTGAGAAGCATGCGCATTATTTTGTGAACCGTGCCAGATCCTGCGGAGCTCTCCCCATTGGCTGGTCCACTTCTACGTCACAGCTGCATCAGCACGTGGCACAGTTCTCCACACCAACACAATTGCCGGTGCACAAGTGCGAATGCATGGTTCACCTTTTAGGCAGGGCTTCATTTCAGCTGAATGTGCGCGACTCGGTAACTCAGTAAAGATATATCAGTAACCGGCACACCACGTCGAGTATAGTACACCTCTTGCCCTGGCCGTAACGACTTCAAAGCCACGTCCCACCTGCTAGTGCACCAGCGACCTGGGCAATATTCAGCGAGATTCATCCCTGGTTTTAGGCAAATTACTTTCTCATGTTAAACCTGGGCGAATGAAGATAACCGATATGTATGAAAAGATGATGACAAACAATACAGGCGAGATTGAAAGACAAAATGGAAATCGACCGGTGGACTAAATGGTTCTGGCCTAGCTGCCGCGTGAGTGGACTGCTGCACCTCACGTGCGTCTTTCCAACTCGACTACGATAAATTTTCAACATTCATACCGAGCAAACTTTTGTTCCGGGAAAGTATTGTATTTAATATTATTGCGTACGATTTTGCACTTTTTTATTCTCCTGTAATGCGGTTGCTTTTGTGCTGATTTCTGTTTGTTTAAACTTTTCATTTCTATTTGATGCGTTGCTTGTTTTTACATTGTTGCTTTTGTCACTTTAGTGACCCAGGTGACTCTTGCAAATTAGACTATGTCTTGAGTTCTCACCTGGCTAAACAAAATGAACAAACTCGACTAACAAGCTAGTGACCGCCGTGCGATGGCCACGCACTCACAGGTGGGTATTCGTAGTGAAGAAAGGCTACCAGGAGACAGACCCTGACCCTGAGACCTCGGTCATCACAAAGGTCAAGGGGGTCGCACTCACCAACTCGACGGAGGGGCCTGGCCAGCGGCTCTGGGACACGGCCGACTACGTGATCCCGCCACAGGTGAGGCCGACGTGGTGGAGAGGCCCAGACCACACCTTTCCGAGTGCAGCCTGCTCCATGAAGAGTCTGGGCGTTACTCTGAAGATACCCAACGTTCTGTTTTGGCCGGGCCAGTCCCGAGTGAGACAATTTATAGCCATCTGCTGTTCATTGGTGCTCAATTATCGTGAACAGCCCTGAGCTAGAAGTGAAAATTACTCATTTATATTGTGGGGACAAGTCAACCCATTAGACTACCACTGTGACTTGTCCAAAGTTGTACTCATGTTATTGACAACAGGGAGATGATGGGCCGAGTCAAGCCCCGACCAGGATTTGAACTCGCAACCTTCCCATTAGAAGTTGCTCGCCCTATCAGTGAGCAACCCCCTAGGGTTACCCTCATGACGCATTGGTGGGAATTGGGACATAGACGTGGTGTAAGATTCAGAGCTCCGCTTTGTGTGGAAGTGGCTGTCCTACGGAGATTCACCCCCACCCACCAGAAGAAACTAAAATCTCCACTCGGTTAGGCTGTAAATAGATGATCATCAATGTCTCAATGATCATTTGAGCAGGAAATCATTTCCACTTTGACTGAATATTTTCTGCCCTCGTGCTCAAGACTCGGGCCACTCTTGACAAATAGACTCATGTCCTGGTCTCTTTGAGTCCTCACCTGGTTAAACAAAACAAGCTTGACACTTGATATGTGATGGGCCGGTTAAGCGGTGCGTGGGCAGGGATAATTAGGGGAGGAGCTGCCAGCTCACCACGTGTGCCAGTTGAGCTTCTCAGAAATGTACACGATGCGTGTGCGATGAGTGTGCGTGTGTCCATTTGTGCAGGGAGAGAGCCGCTTCTTTGTGGTCACCAACCTGGTGAGCACGCCCCGGCAGCGCCAGGGTCTGTGCGCTGAGGTGAGCCTCAGTCACCCCTCACCTTCAGCCTCACCATACCGGCCACAATTGCGCAGCAGGAATATACATGAGGGTTGCCACCTGTCCAGGGCTTGATTTCGGTGTTGTTCACGTGCCTGGGATAATTTCTCTAGACAATTTACCAAGTGTTACATATTAAATTAATATAGGACAGGATAAGCAATACAGAAGTCTGGAAATGTACGTGGCAGGCGAGTGTTGGAGATGCGATTAGGAAAAGCGGCTGCACTCGGTGGGACGCGTGTGCAGGATGGGGGAGCGCGATTGCTGAGAGAGGTATTGAGGTGGTCCCCACGAGTCTGGTCGCCAAGGGGAAGGTGGAGGGAGACCGTCGAGGCATATTTTGGAGGTCGCGTGTACGGTGGCTGGTGGAGGGTCGAGAGCTTTGGTAGCGACGCGTGGGGGCATCATCAGCTGTGGCAACGATGTCTTCAGCTTTAGATTGCTACAGGATCCTTAATAACCAGAATCGCTCCTAGATCTGCACTGTGTCCTCACCCAGTTCCACTCTCCTTGTGTGGTGTAGATGCTCTAACGTGCTAATCTGGCGGCTTCAGGCTCTTGGCCACCTCTATAAACAATTGTTTCCTCAATTCAAACAGTGGGCAGGTGCTGCCAACTCGTCGTAGCAACCTCCAGGATCAGCAAAACTGCTGCAGACTCGCCAGCATCTTCAGCAATCTGGGCAGCAGAGCAGCACAGTGGTAAAAGTCACACCTCAAAGTAAGAAGTACATGGGTTCAACTCCTGACCAGGCACCTGACGAATTGGGATCACATAGCAGCAACATTGCCCCCTACTGTGAACACTTGGCAGGACCCTCCTAAAAAAAGAGTCTCGAGACTCGGATAGGATTTCCTGGGCGAGTGTTGGGGAGATTGTGAAAGTCGCTAAATTTGTCGCTGGTCGCTTTCACAAGAATAAACGTTGCCAAGAGTTGCAAAGAGTCGGCAAATCCCAGGGCGAAACAGCCGAGTTGGCAGCACTGGGCGTGTAGCCCCTATAGCCCCTATGGGCCATGGCTCGAGGCCTGAGCTCTGGGCCTCACGCTCTCATCTCCGCGCAGAACCCCAACGTGCCCGGTGCACGATGCCAAGAGGACGGGGACTGCCCGGCGGGGAGGACCTTCAACACCGGCAACGGTGAGGGGAGCAGCCGCGACTGCCCGTGCACGCGTCCTCTACCATCCACCACTGCACTCCCCTCACTGCCAATCGCACCTCACCCACACTCGTGATGCTCTCCATCTCCTCCCCCTCCTCCTCCCGGGTAGGGATATGCACCGGGCGGTGCGTGCCCACGAACGGCACGGCGCGTGTGTGTGAGGTGCACGCCTGGTGTCCTGTGGAGAACAGCCCAACGCCCAGGTGTGGGAACCACATCACCATCAACTCATTACAACCTCATCATTACAATGTCATCAAGCATCTACGTATGTGTACAGACAGTCCTTGACAAATGAACGAATTACGTTACTGAGACCCATTCATAGTTTATTTTTTTGTATCTCGGAACTTAATATATTATTGTACATGCGTTCAGTGTTATAAAACGTGTTATGGTTCAACAATAAAGGGAGGCATTGTTAAACTCAGTGTCGAACGGTTCACTGTCATTGTGCATCACGTGGGATGCTGGGACTCATTACATCTCGCAGAGGGTCACTCTGCTGAACAAAATAGTTACGCAGTTCAGTTCGTAAGCACGACCAAACGTTTGTAAGTTCGATGGTTAAAAATAATATCTTATGGCAGTTCGTTTGTGTGGATGTTCATAAGTCGGACGTCCATATCTCGAGGACTGCCTGTACATCACATCACCACCACCTCACCATCTGTTTAAGCCCATCATCATCAACCTCATCCACATCGTCCCCTTGTCTGGTTGCATCTCAGCAGTAGAGCGAACGGCTCACGAGCGGCTCGCAATCGAAAGGATTTGAGTTCAATAATTTTGGGGAGGGGAGAGGTTTCGAGATCAACCATCCCTCCCTCGGGTCAATAAAATAAGTACTACTTGGTGGGAAAGTCAACAGTGGTTGCCTTGTGGATGGAACAATCTCCACCATTGGTTCTGCAGAGCTGTAAACAGGAGATGAGCACCATTTGAACAAGAAGTCACTCTGGCTTGATTTGGATCTGTCCACATTATCAATTCCTTATCCTCTTTTCAACCTTTAGTGGCAAGAGGACAGGGAAGAGAATAATAATGCGGAGGGAAGCTGACTGAATGCGAGTGAGGAGTAGAAAGTGAGGAAAGGGGAATACGGTGCCCTCAAATGTGAAAGTGAGCTGTGGGGAGTGAATAGGGAGTGTGGTGCCCTGACTGTATGAGGAGCGGCGAGTGCGGTGCCCTCACTGTGCTGCCATAGGGAGGCCGTGTTGCGAGAGGCCGAGAACTTCACCGTTTTCATCAAGGTCAGCGTCAACTTCACTCGCTTCAATGTTCACAGGTGAGGCCACCTCCCTCCTCGCCAGTAAGCTCACTCCTTTCTTCACTGGTGAGCTCACCTATGACTTCCCCGCATCACGATGACGGCCGGAGCTAGGGGGCACTGGGCTGGGCTCTGCACATCAAATGTGCCTTTGGCCCAGTTAAGTTTTCTCGATGTGGTGGTCGGAATCACTGTCCTGGTGGCTCTCCACACAATTGCTCTACAGGGCACCCCGTCTGGGAAGAGCCGGAGCGGAGCCCGAGTATTATTCTCAAATCCCACGTTTACCAAATCGCCTGGGCTGCATCAAATATCACGAGACCCCTTAACCCCGTGACTCCATGACACCTGGGGCAGGACCAAGTGCAGCTTCCGTCTCCGTGGGGCTGCACGGGGAGGGAGGGGGAGGCCGGCAGCACACAGTTGCGGCGGCGGGGATGGTAGCACCGGTGCCGCCGCCACGAGTCCGTTTGCATCAGAGTCGAAATGCGGCACCTAGCACGACCTACGCCCGTCTCACCACCTCTTAAGTCAGCACCGCGTAGTAGCACAGGGCGCTGAAGCGCAGGGCACGCGCGCACTTGTGCCGTTCCCGCAGGAGGAACGTCCTGGAGGAAGGGGACAGCTCCTACCTCAAGTCGTGCGAGTTCCATCCCGAGCGGTCTCCGCTCTGCCCCGTGTTCCGTCTCGGAGAGCTGGCGGTGCGCGCCGGGGCCTCCTTCAGTGACATGGCCACGCGGGTGCGAGCGCAGCCGCCCAGACCACTGGCATGGGCGGGGTGGTGACATGGCCTCGCGGTAGCGTGTTCCTCGCTTGTTGCAGAGCTTCATTGTTCGAATCCGGCAAGCTGCCCTGATTAATACCGTGGGTGTCAGAACCATGATAACCCTCAATGCTGTCCACTCTGTTTAAAGTGGAAGTTAAAGATCCTGTGACGTCATTAAAACGAGTAAGCCATTGTGTGCCTGCATCAGCGTCCAAATTTGAAAAGTTACACCGCAAATTTCTCGATTGTGATTACACAGCAATCATTGCCCCCATCGTGAATTTATCGCCACATAGTAATCACCGCCCTGAGGAAGAGGGCCAAGAAATATTCTTGGTTTCTACCAACCCACTAGCTCGCTCTGCATCAGTCTGGTGAATGTGGAATGTGCCCCGGATTCCTGGGGTTGGAGCATGGCGAGCATGATGAGCATGATGAGCATGGCGAGTATGTGTGGAGGGCACTGTGCAGTGAGGGTCTGACACAAGTCCTCATCGGTTTATTTAACCATCCGGCCAGTTGGCTCAGTGGGAGAATGAGCGGCTCGCAATTTGACGGTTTGCAAGTTCACATTCACTTAGTGAGAAATCACCATTAGTTGCCCTAAGGATAAATCACCCCTGCCATAGGAATGAGGAATTTCCACCGTTGGTTCAGGGCTGTATATAGGATATGAGCACTGGCTCAATGCTCATTTGAGTAGGAAGTCACTTTCACTTCTTTATGTACTTGTGCAGAAATTCCACGCTGATATTTCTGTAACTTAACGTAGCTATGAAGTTTTTTTAAAAGCATTTTTTGTAAAATAGGAAATTGGATTTAGTATTGATTTATGTGTGTGCACAGTGTTTTGATTTATCTGTAATGCAGTTGTTTGCTCAGATTTATATGTGCTTACTTGCTGTACTTGATGTTGCATTCTTCCTTTTGTCATTTTGGTGATTCAGATGCCTTGCAAATGGTACTTATCCTGGTCTCTGGAGTTTTCACCGGGATAAACAAAATAAACTTCATACTTGAGCTTGTGTGGACTGGAGGCTCTGTGTACGTGTGTGCGCACAGGGAGGGGTGATCGCGGTGCACCTAGCTTGGGACTGTGACCTTGACCGTGACCTCTCAGCGTGCGCCGCGCAATACCGATTCTCGCGGCTTGACAGCGAGCGCTCGCGTGTGGCAGCCGGCCACAACTTCCGGTGAGCGCCCGGCAGGGTTTCACATCAACCGGGTCCATCCGGTGGCGATCCGGAAAACATTTACACACCCGGCACATCACACTACATTCAGTATACCTCCCCCTAACTACAGCTACTTCAGTCTAGCAGTAACCTGTAATTTATTCAGTGAACCCAGTGCCTCTGCCCAGTTGCACTGTAAGTGGTGGTATTGTCAGTGCGGTGTGGACCTGCAGCTGGGCCCGGTCAAGGCCAACGCGTCTGTGTCACCGCAGGTTTGCGCGCTACTCCTGGCAGGACGGGGCCGAGACGCGGAGCCTCCTCAAGGTGTACGGAGTGCGATTTGACGTCATGGTGTCAGGCAAGGTAACCGTGTCCTCATGTCGTCCTCTTCACAATTGGAGACTCCACCAGACGTGTTTCCCATTCACATGATAATACTTATCTCTGCATTGAAAGGGCACTCGCATAATCCATCAGCAACTCAAAGTGCCTACATTACATCTCTGTTAGTAGAAGGCAATGATTCAGACTGCGATGTGTAATCCCAATTGGGTAATTTGCAAGTTCCAAATCTGTAAAGTTTGGACCGGGACGCAAGCACGCAAAGGCCTACTATTTTTAAATGAAGTCGCGGGATCCTTCATGTCCACTGAGTGGAAACCCCAATATTAACCAAGACGGCCTGCCAGATTCAAACCATGAATCTCTGCATAGAGCGGCAAACGTGCCGGCGCTGGGCCACGTCACCAATATGAGGTTTGACGCTTGAGGAAATGTCTCCTGTGAGTGACACAGAGTGTGTTTCCTCTGGCAGGCCGGCAAGTTCAGCATTGTGCCCACGCTGCTGAACCTAGGGGCTGGGCTGGCACTTCTGGGAGCGGTGAGCAGACATTCAGGCTTCAACACATCGACACCCACCCGACACCTCACCCACACACGCACCACCCAACAGGAACTACATCGTGTACCACGTGCACTGTGCTGAATGTAAAACGTACAGCCCCCCCTAACTCTCAGGGCCCCCCTTCTCTCTGTGCCCCCTGCTCTCCACGTTGCCCCCTCCCCACGCTGGCTACAGGGCGCATTTCTGTGCGACCTCTTTCTGCTCTACGCCAGCAAGGAGAGCCCCCAATACCGGCAGCGCAAGTTTGAGCGCAGCGAGGAGGATGGGCCTGTTCCACCCCAACAGGACGCCGTGCGGGCCCGTAGCTCCTCGACACCAGGAACAGCCAACTCAAGCTAGCCCCTATCACAGCCCCCCAGTCTAGCTAGTCCCTATTATTTTCCCTAACACACCTCCTTCGTCCAGCTTGTCCCTCTAGCCCAGCCAGCGGTCATCCTCTTGTCCCCTGACACAGCCCTGCAATATCATTGGGGAGTGTGATGTGGACACAGCCACAATGAGAGATACAAGCATACAAAACCAGAATTGTGAAAGTGAATCCTGACGATGATGGAAATAATTTCAACTCGTAACGCACACGGTGTTTGCTCGCTTTCAAAGGCAGAGAAGGACTCGGAGGCATAACCACAGACAAGCGGGAAGGTAGCAGCCAGATGGAAAGCCTGCGCTACCAACAATTGCTCGAGGTCTGCAGCCCGCTATATATTAGATGTTTTCAGCCAATTAATGTGTGGGAGGAAACCAGAGCACCTGGAGAAAACCCACACGTTTAAGGGAGCAAGCAGAACTCTCCCCGTACAGATGTGACAGAGAGATTACTCCACATTGTTGTACCTGATGATGGTGATAATGTACCGCGATACACATTTGAATAAAATAAGACGCAACAAAAAAACCTCTTTCAGTGCATAAGATTATTTTACCAAATAATATCATAATACATAATTCATTCAAGTGGTCATAATTTAAACTAAAATACACCGGCCAGCAGAGGTAGGGCTTGGGGTGGGGGTGAAGGTGGGTGGACGCGGGGTTGAGTAGGAGCCAGGGTGGATGATGCACGTGGCGATCAGGAAGGGGGCAACGGTATTGGGGAAGCGCTGGGAAAGAGGGGGGGGCTAGCTCTGGCTGGTTTTTTCCGCGATCACCTGCTTGAGGAGCTCGGCGAGATGTAAGCGGTCGACTTTTTCCGTGAAGCGCATCCCTGTGGACGGAAATGACTTATTCACCGCTAGTGGAAGCATCCATGGCTGAGCAACAGCCCCCCTCACCCACAGGTGCCCCCCCTTGCACGTGACGACCTCCTGCACCCCTCCTCACACACCCTTCCCTTTTCCACCCCCCCCCACTGCAAGGCCCTTCCCCGCTCCTCCTCGGGTGCTGGGCCCCTCCCGCCTGATGTCTTGCGCCGGATGTGACATTAGGAGGAAGCCAATCAGAATGCTGGGAAGAGACAGTGACTGAAAGACATGTTTGTGTTTGTACAACATGACGATTATGATTCCACTTGTTTACCCAGGAAAACCCCACTGAATCTCAAGACTTTTTTAGGAGGGTTTTGCCAATTTTTCGCAGCAAGGGGTGATGTTGCTGCTGTGTGTAATCCCAATTGAGTAATACGCAGATATGTTTTTTACAATGCGGTTGTTTTGGCCCATTCTGGTTACATTATGGGTTTCATTTTAGCTATGGGAAAAAACGTAAACTGGAGGAAACCCATGCATAATAGGGGGAGAACACAAAAACTACACAGAAAAACACCCGAGCCAGGAATCAAACCCAGGCCCTTCTTTCTGTGGATGTCTTGCCACTGTGCCACCTTGCCACCAACATGTCAAGGTTATGGTTGAACCAGGTGAAAACTCAAAGAGACCAGGATCGCCTTGTATGCAAGAGTGAGCTATGGAACTGCGTAACTCGATGTTACTCAGCGCTAGATCCCAGCTCGGCCTCTAATTCGTCCCCTCGAGGCAGTCGTCCCTGGACGCCTGCGGCTATGAACTCCATATTAAGGAGTGTAGGACTTCGCACTGCCCAAAAATACATGTGAAAGCAGTGGGTATGTATGGTTGAGTGTCATTCAGTGTGGAGGATTAAATGTGGTTGAGTCTGGTTATGTGTGTGTGTGGTTCTGTGCAGCCAAACTCCTGGTTGAGTGAACAGTTAAATATGTGTGGTTTAGTATATGTGGTTTAAAGTGTGGTTAAGCATGGTTGAGCATGGTGCAGTGCATGGCTGAGTGGGGGTGAGTGTTTATGGTTGAACGTGTTTCATTGTGCGTGGTTAGTGTAGTTGAGTGGGTGGTTAAGTGTACGAGTTAGAGTGGTTGAGTGTGAATTGTTGAGTGTGTGGTTGAGTGAACAGGTGATCGAGTGGTTGAGCGCGGCTGTACCATTCCAGCTGGCCTCGTGCAGCGCATCTCGCAGGAGGCGACAGTCTCGATTGTAGCTCCAGGCATCGTGCAGCGCGCGGACGACGCCTTCGTCACCACCCTCATCCTCATCTACGCAGGAGTAGCAGCAGCAGTGGAAGTAACAAATCGTGAGGTCGTCTCCCCCCTCTCGTTGTGCTCGCTCAACTAGTTCAAACAGTAGAGTCAACACACGAAGTGAATGTGTGTGCTGGAGGTGAGTATATGAGTGGTTCAGGGGGAGTGGGTGTCATGTCAGTGTCCAGGTGATCATGTGGGTCAGTGTGTGGGTGAGCATGCAGGTAATCATGCACGTGAGCATGTGGGTAGGTGAGCGTGCAGGTGATCATGTAGTTGAGGGTGTGAGCTTGTGGGTGAGCGAACACATGTCTATAGGTGAGCGAGTAAGCGCGTCGAGTGCATGCGTGCATCGCACCTCCTTGCGGGAGGATGCATTGCGCGATGACATCCCTCAGTTTCTCCACCGCCACGTCCTCCACCCCCCCGGGGCAGCTGGCCCCACGGTCCGCGTCAGGGGGGCACAGGGCCACTGTGGAGGGGTTCTCTGGGAATGGGACCCCTGAAGAGGGGCCTTCGGGGCAGCTGCAACTATCCTCCTTGCCCTGGGGGCACTCTGCTCCCCCAGCGCTGCCCTCGCACAGCTGGGTCCTGGTGGAAAAGTACACGGCACACAGCGTCTTGAGAGCTGCACCCATGTTTTTGTTGTTTTGGGTTTTCTCGTAATTTACTCATGCTGTCTGTGAGGGTAGTCACATTTCCTCAACTCTTTGAGTTGGTGGTCTAAACAACAAAATCGCCACAAGTTCAGATCTTTTGAGCTGGTGGTCTGGATAAGGCTGAAACTGTCAATGTTTTCATTAATAAGAATTAACACGTTTCTTGAAGCAGTGTGAGGAAAGAATGAGAAACAGAAGTGTTGTGACCTGCAGTGTAGTGAGTGTGTTGTTGTCACCTGCAGAGTGGTGAATGAACACAGTAAGGAAGAGATGAAACAGTCAATTTGGTAGACAGGGATGATCATGGGTGATGCAGATAAGTGTGATGCTCTGCAGTGGATCTTAGGCTTGGGAAGAGGTGGCTTTGGAGGTGGAAAGGACCAATGCCAAAACTCGCGCTGCACCGGCGCCAAACCCACGCCAGCGCATGGACGAAGGAGGAGTACCAGTACCGGAGTAGCTTGCGCTTGCGCAGGATAGGGTTGTTGACGCAGGTGAGCGGTTTGAGTGAGACGCTGAGTTCGGGCATGCGCATGCTGGCCAGCGCGTCTGCATGCGCCTGCTGCAGCTCGGCCATTGCCACCTGTACAAAGACAAAGGTCCCCCACGTAGTCTTTAACAGATTGTGGGAGCAAGTGCACTAACCACTGTGCTTCGCTCCCCATGCTCACATACATCTACACACCTTCACATGCATACACCTGCACACACTCACTCGTGAAGGCCGGCACGGCACACGAGGGGATAGGTGGCCCCACATCCGTCCACCCGTCTCCCCAGTGATGCTGTTTACATACTGCAGCAGGTACTTATTTAATACTGACTTGAACTAGGATAGGTCTAGGACCAGTTACGATATTGATCGCTGATGTTGGCCATGAGTAGGAATTGAATTAGGGTCGATGGGTTTGCAGCACAGTGCAGCACCAGCCACTGCAATTCTGATTCCCATCTCAACCTACACAACAACAACAACCGCCATTCGCCACTAAGTGGCGGTGACGTCACCACGACGCTTGTGCCAGGCCATGTGCACCTTGAGGCCACGTGAAGTGTCGAACGCCCGCTGGCAGGAGGTCATGGGGCAGACCCAGGTGTCACAGGTCGACTGACTGAGATGACTGACTGATGCATCATCTGTGCCCCCTACTGTGCCAACCTGCTGTGTTTTAGCCACCCGGCGCTTCGCTCGTTGTTGTGAGCATCGCTCCTCCGCCCTCCGTTGTTGTTGGAGGGCGACTGCCTCCAACTGCCCAGTAGTGTCCTTCACGAGCCTCCTCCACAGAGGCCGATCTTGACACCGCTGGTACCAGTCACCGGCAAGTCCACTCAGCTCCACGTCTTTCTGTACCACATCACTCCATCTCTTCTCTAGCCCGTGCCGCGCCCGTTTAGCCCCCTCGATCCGGCCGAACAAAAGCTGTTTCGGCATGCGGTGGCTGGGCATGCGGGCTACATGACCCAGCCAACGCAACCTTGCCTGCCGGAGGAGCTCACCGATGGGACCTTGCCCAGATCTTTCAAGGATTTGTGAGCTCCTCACACAATCCAGCCTGGTTAAACCCAGGATGGATCGTAGGCAGGCTAGCCTAAATGTTTCTAACCGGCGAACATGTTCCATTAAGGGGGTCCACGTTTCGCAAGCGTAGAGAAGGGAGGGAATGACCGTGGCCGAGAAGACCTGAAGCTTAGTGCGGAGCGACAGACCAGGTAGCTTCCACACAGCGTTACGCAACCGATGAAAAGATATTGCCGCTCGACTGATTCGGAGTGAGACCTCTGCTGTTAAACTGGAGCCGGTCATAAGCACACTGCCCAGGTATGGGAAACTCTCCACTCTCTCCACAACTGCCTCATCACCGATTGGGAGTTGTGGGGGTGGAGTGTACGATGGTACAAAATATCCAGGCAGTTGCTTAGTTTTGGTGGGGCTGATGGTAAGGCCCATCTCTTAGTGGCACGCTCCAGTCTCAGTAGCAGCGTCTCCAACTCCTCCTCTGAATGAGCAGCTATTACCAAATCATCAGCATACATAACGTGGTTGAGCAATAGGGAGCCATCCCTTGACCGCACCCGGGCATCGATCAGCCTCCCATTATCTGTACCAAATGGAGATTCCCTCGGTACAGCTATTGAAGGCTTCACGAACTACGTGGTCAAAATAGATGTTAAATAATGTGGGAGCCATTCCCTGTCGCACCCCCAGGTGTACAGGGAATGGCTCTGACTCCCGGCCACGTAGTTTTACCCGGGCCCGCTCACCAACATGAAGGTCCTTAATGATCGTGAGCAGGGGGTCAGGGATTCCAAAAGCACGAAGAACAACCCAGAGCCCAGGCCTACTGATGGTATCATAGGCCTTGACCAGGTCAATAAAGCAGAGATGTAGGTCTTGTTGGAATTCCCTACACCTCTGCTGTAGCAGACGGACAGAAAATATGGCATCTGTGCAGGACAGCCCTTTCCTGAAACCGCATTGGGGCTCGCAAGCCTCTCCTCAGCATGCCTGGCAAGGCGATGTTGAAAAATCCTTGCCAGGACCTTTCCTGGCACACTGAGGAGTGAGATGCCCCTGTAGTTGTTACAGTCTGTGTGGTCCCCCTTCTTAAAGAGGGGGACCACCAGGGCATCCTTCCAATCCTGCGGAACCCGTCCAGTGGTCCAGACTATTGTTATGATGTCATATAGGGCAGTCTGTGCACAAACGCCACCCTCCCTCAGCATTTCGCTTGGGAAATCATCTCTGCCCGGTGCCTTTCCTGGTCTCAGACTCCAGATCGCCTTTAGTACTTCCTCAACAGATGGCACCTCAGCCAGTCACTCACAGGGGGTAACTTCTTCCAATATTTGAGGCACCGCAGCCTCAGCAGGGTCATCCCCACTATGTGCCACGATGTTTTCCTGGCTGAGGGGTTTACCCTCCCCCAGGACCTCACAGAAATGCCCAGCAAATCTGCAAACCTGTTCCAGGGGGTCGGAGATTGGAATACCGTTTTTTCCCCTAATGATGGTAATAGGTGTGGTGCTGCAGGTTACTTTTTTGATGGAGTTAAATAGAGATTTGTGATCGCGGGCCACTGAGGCAGACTCCATCTCCTCAGCAACCCGCGACCACCACCCATCCTTGCAGCACCTCACGGCTCTCCGAACCTCCGAGCGAAGGCTGCGGTAAGCCTCCTCATTCTCTGACGTGGGATTCTGTAGCCGATGACAGTGGGCCTGTCGCTTTTTCTCAACTATCCTGAACACCTCCTCTGTCAGCCAGGGTCTCTGGGGAGGTCTGGACCGTGTACCCAAAGCAGCCATTGCAGCTGCATGAGTCACAGTCCTAAACCTCGCCCATTTACCCTCGGCATCAGGATGAGTGGGGGACGATGCCAATCCCAGCCGCAAGCGATGATGAAATTCTCGCTTGCAGCTTTCATCAGCTGAGACCAGGCCACTTTAGGTTGGAATGGGGTCCTGGGTGTACACACACCACCGGAGTGGAAAAATGGCAGGGGCATCTTACAGATGACTAGTCGATGGTCAGAGGGCAGATCAGCTCCACGGTAGGTCCTGGTGTCAAGGACATGGGCTCGCATCCGCTGGTCCGTCACTATGTAGTCCAGCAGATGTTCTTGCTTGGACCCTGCATGCATCCATGATGTTGTGTGGATGCGCCGATGCCGGAACAGCGTGTTGGTAATTACAAGCCCATGGGCTGCACAAAAATCTAGCAGCCTCCTACCGTTGTTATTGAGCTGATCTGGCCCATGCCCTCCAATCACTCCAGACCAGGTGCCAGCATCATGACCAACTCGGGCATTGAAGTCACCCAACAAGATGACTCTATCCCGAGGGGCCACTTTAGCCAGCACCTGTGACAGGAGGTCATAGAAGGCATCTGACTCATCGGCTTTGCCTGCATCCCTCCACGGATGTTCGTCTTCGGTGGGGGCATAAGTAACCACGACCACCACTCCTCGCCTCCGGTTGATGGGAAGGTGAGCCCAAAGTAGCCTGGGGCTTACAGCTTCCAACACCGCACCGCCACGCTCCCACGCACCCTTCATTCTTTTGTTCAAAAGAAGAGCCACACCCTGTTGTTTGGCAGTCTGCTGCCCCGAGTAGCGGACTGTCCACCCCTCATGGTGGCAGGAGTCAGAACCAGTCCACCGGACCTCCTGAATGCCACAGAGATCCAGACGGTACCGGTCCAGCTCCCGACAGAGGAGTGGCAGCCTCTCCTCCGCAGTGAGCGTTTGAACATTCCACGTGGCCACACCAAGTGACTTTTCGTTGTTTCTGGAGGAGCCCCGAGGGTAGAGATTCAATCTCCTGGCTCCGCCAATTTAGGTTTGGCCAGGAGACGTCATAAACGCCTGTCCCCCCGGGGCCTCCGGCACAAGCTTATTATTTCTATATTTAAGTCATGGTTTCGTGGTAATTTTTTGAAGGTGGAGGGGTTACCAGCCCCTCGCACCCGTTCAGAGTCCCCGTTTAACCACTTTGGTGGTCACAGACGCCATGAGGGGAGAGGCCAATCGGAATTGGCCCTCTCCCCACAGCACTGTCCACGACAGAGTTGCCCGTCCGGCACCGCGAAGAGGTAGGGGGTTGTTTTGCCGCACAACCTACACAGGCACATGCGCACGCGCATGCGCACGCACACAGGGAAGGTTGGGGTCTCTCCCTCCTGTCACACCGATTCCGGCAGCCCCAATACGCAGCAAACAGCACCATCAATACCCACTCACTAGCACAGAGGCAGATGGCACCAGCTAACAATGATTACTGGACTGATGAGTCCTAATGAGGAAGAAACCAGTCGAGAATTGTGTCTGTTTCACTACTCTCTATTGGAATGGCCGAATGTTTGCAACTCTTTTAGCTGGTGCTCCATCCGGCAACATGGCCACGTATTAGGTTATTTTGAGCTGGTGGTCTGGATAAGACTGAGATATTCTGTACACAGTGCTGCACACTATTGTGTGTTACTAAAACTACCAACACACACATATGCACCAAAACAGAATCGTACTAACGCACACACCAATACAGGACTGTACTAACACATACACCAACACAGGATTGTACTCACGCATGCACTAACACAGGATTGTACTAACGCATGCACCAACACAGGACTGGACAAACGCATGCACCGACACAGGATTGCACGAACGCATGCACCAACACGTGATGCGAGCCTGCACGCGCCTTGTCCATGAGGAGGTGGAGGGAGGGCAGCACGTTGTCCATCGCCTCGGTGGACGTGAGCCAGCGGTGGGCGAGCACGCCCTCCACACTCAGCCTCTCCTCCGCCTTCACCTTCAGCAGGCTTCACCATGCGCATACACACACGCACAACAACAAAGACATACAGATACACACAACAAATACACACACATTGCTTTGTCAATTTACAAGTTTCACCTTTAGATTGCGTGTGTGTCAAAATGTCTGACTGTGCATGTGTATGCATGTGTGTGTATGCATGTGTAAGTGCCTTTGTGTGTGTGTGGGAACATACGTAAGCATATTGCACTACGAACCTGGCGATTTCAGTGTGATTCACACTCATGACCCATAAGTGGCAAATATTAAACCCGTTCTAGGCCTTCCCTAGGTCGACTCAGCCTCAAATGAGTACCTGGTGTGGTGTGTAAATATCGCCACGAGGAACACAAAGGTTGCCCGGCTTGGTGCTGGCCACCCACCCCCTCGTGTGCCATTCGGACCTTCATAGGTGCTTGCCAATAGCACTTTCCCCAATAGTTTGTGAAAAACTATACGGGGTATATTTGTCTTTGAATGTGTGTATGCATGTGTGTGTGGTCACCAACGCATGACGTCCTTGGCCGTGCATGACAGTAAGTTTGTACGTGTATGTACACGCATGTTTTTTTCTATGTGTGGTTACAAACAAATGACGTCCTTGGCTGTGTGTGTGTTTGTATGTACGTATGCAACGTGTGTGGTCACCAGCACACGAAGTCCTTGGCTGTGAAGAGTGTGTGAGTTTGTGTGCATGTGCGAGTGCGTCTGGTCACCAGCGCACAACGTCCTTGGCTGGCTCGGAGATCTGGCTCCATCCCTCCTCTGGGAAGTGGAACTTCCCCTGCATGATCTTGCGCCGCATGTCGCGCGGCATGGCTCGCCCACGCTGCTCCGAATGGAACGGCGGATACCCACAGAGCATCACGTAGATGATGACGCCCAGAGACCACAGGTCACAGCTCTGCCACACATGCACGCATGGGGAACAGCAACAGCATTAGCAGTAATAATAGGGGTTTTCCCCTTTTTTCTGGCAACAAAACTGAAACCTTTTTACAAGGATTCATGTCTGCATTAACCACAATACCTGCAGTCAAAATGCAAACAAAAAACATACTATGATAATATATGCATTGTCCTTGAAACTGATTGGTCCACACCAAGGGACGGCTTTCTTTTGAGCCTCGACCCAATTGGTGCTCGACCACATGTATGCCTTCTGGCATGCAGACATGAATCCTTGCAAAAAGGTTTCAGTTTTGTTGCCAGAAAAAAGGGGAAAATCCCTATTATTACATTTTGGTACTGGCAAAGGAGGTCGAATGATGGAGCATTAGCAGTATCAGAATAAGCAGCATCGTAATCATCGTCAGGGCATATAGCATAGCAGCATCACGATTATCACCACCATCGCCATCTTAATCATCATCAGCATCGTCAGCACCGTCATCACCACAATCACAATTATCCCTATCATCTATGGTGCTACAGCCCAGGGAGCCTAAAACAGGGGTCAGAGCTGCATCTTTACGTGGGTGAGGCACACCCAAGAGGTGAGGAGTGAAGGGGATGCAGGATGAGAACAGCAGGGTTGAGATATAGTATCTTGTTGAGAGCGAAGAGGTGTGAGAGTGAGGGGCGGCACCTTGTTGTAGGTGTAGGGGGTGGCGTTTGGGGAGATGACCCCAGACTTCTCTTTGCGATGCTGCTTCTGTGCTTCCAGCACCTGCACCACACACACCGCTCCAACGCTCACACTCCTCACTACAATACTCCTACGCTCACCAAACCACTCCTATGCTCAACACAATGCTCCCCGCTCACCATCACACACATACCTCTTCCACACTCACCACACTGCTCCTACACTCACCACCTCGCTCCCATCCTCACCACAGCTCCCGATGTTTACATGCTGAAAAAAGTTAGCTTTAAGGCTGAATCTACTCAACAGAGGCCCAGGATGGGTGTAAGTATCACTCTCCCATAGGTGTTATTTGTGACTGGGAATGGAACTCAGGTTGCCAATGTTGTGGTGCAGCACACAAAACACTGTTACTGCTAACCACAATGCATACCAAGACCCACCCCCAAAATCCTTAGCAGACTGTTGGGGCAAGTGTAGTGTACTAACCACTGCATCACCTCTCCCCCTGTGTGCACACACCATACACACACACACAGGAGTGCACAAAAGCAAATATCCCCCGTATAGACAGTTGGGGCAAGTGCTGTTAGCGAGAGCCTATGAAGGCCAGCATGGCACACGAGGGGGTGGGTAGTCAGCTTGGCTATCTTTATCTCTCCAGTACTGGTAATATACACACAGCACCAGCTACTCATTTAAGGTTGAATCGACCACTCACTCACACACGCACGCATATGTGCATACATGACCACACCCGCTCGTGTGCCTGTACCTGCGGGGCCACGTAGTAGGGAGTGAACTGCGGGGTCATGAGGTCGCCCTGGTCCACCTTGGCAAAGCCGAAGTCGCACAGCTTTAGCGGCGCATCCTACAGATCGTAGGGGTCACATACATGAGGAGCTTCATTTAAATCCTATGAATGCCTCATTTGCAATTGTGTCCAGGATGTTGATACTTCACACACCCACCCACACACTCACCCTCCCACTCACTCACCAACCCAAAGACAAAGATCACCCGTTTAGCTTCTAACAGACTATTGGGGAAAGTTCTATTAGCGAGCACCTATGAAGGCCGGAACTGTACACAAGGGGGTAGGTTGCCAGTACCACGCCCGACCGCCTTTTTCTCCCCAGTGGCAATGTTTACACATAGCGCCAGTTACTGATTTGAGGCTGAGTCGACCAAGAAGAAGCCCAAGACCGGTTAAGATATTTGTCACTGGTGTTGGCTGCGAGCGGGAATCAAACTCGGGTCGCCGGGTTCGCATTGCAGCATACAAACCGTTGCACGAACGCTCCGCACACTCACCCACCCACTTAATCAACTACCCTCCCACACACTCACCCATCTTGCCACACATTCACCCACTCACCCTCCCACATGCTCACTCACCCACCTTCCCACTTACTCCCTCCTTCAATTAAAGACAAAGATCCCCCATATAGCCTTAACAGACTGTTTGGGCAAGTGCTGTTAGCGAGCACCTATGAAGGCCAGAACAGTACTCGTGGGGTGGGTGGCCAGCACCACGCCCGACCGCCTTTGTCTCCCCAGCGGCGATGTTTTTATACACCGTACGAGGTACTCATTTGAGGCTGAGTCGACCTAGGGGAGGCCCAGGACCGGTTCAGATCATCGTCACCGGTGTTGGCTGTGAGCGGGAATCGAACCCGCATCACCGGGTTCATAGCGTAGCGCGCTAACCGTTACACTACCGTTCCCCACAATCACCCACTCTCTTATCTACAACGACAAAAGACCCCCTGTATAGCCTGTAACAGACTGTTTGGGCAAGTATTGTTCGCGAGTGCTTGTGAAGGCCGGCATGTCTCACGAGGGGGAGGGTGTACAACACCACGCCCGACCGCCTTTGTCTCCCCAGCGGCGATTTTTTTACACACCGCACCCGGTTCTCATTAAAGGCTGATTTGAACTTGGGGAGGCCGAGGACTGGTTCAGATAATCGTCACTAGGGTTGCCCGTGAGCAGGAATCGAACTCGGGTCATTGGGATTGTAGTGCAGCACACCAACCGCTACTATACCGCCGACTACCACTCCCGCACTTACACACTGACTCATACATCGAAACAAAGAAACACACCCTGAATTGCAAGTCCGGTGTGCTGCTGACCATTACACCACTGTGGAGGCAGCGCCCGTGTATTTTGTTTTATAAACAATTAAACTATGAGCAATGTATCTGGAGCAAGAGTGGTTGGCTTGGTGTGGGGGGTGAGTTGGGGGGAGAGTAGACTGACCAGGGAGTTATCTTTGAAGAGGAGGTTTTCTGGTTTGAGGTCACGGTGCGCGATGTTCAGAGAGTGGCAGTGCTGCAGTGCCCGAGAGATCTGTGGTGAACACACGCGCACACGATCACGCACACACAAACATGGAGGAAGGTTGGGGTCTCTCTCTTCAGCCACACTCCTACCTGCTGTGTCACCTCTCACCTGCTGCGTGACCTTGCTGGCCTGCTTTTCAGTAAAGTGGCGGCACTGGCTGATCCTGTTGAATAACTCCCCACCCTCCATCATCTCCATCACCAGCAGAAGCCGTGCCCTAGAAAACACCACACACACAGCTATCATTAATAATTTAGACTTGTACTGTTTAGAGTATTCACTCAGTCTCACAGAGAATGACTCAGAGGCGTGACAACGAACCACAAATAAGTGGGAAAGCAGCAGCCAGGTGTTGAGTTGGCATCAACATTTTAAAAGATGTGATCCTCTATATATTAAGATTTTTCAGCCAATTAACCATAACCCATTGCCACCAGGTAGAGGCACTCTCAAGAGGTATATTGCTTTAGCAGGGCAGGTTTGCGATGGGCCATGGAAACCACTTTGGAAGAGAAGGGAGATAATTGTGTGATGAGAAGGGTGTTTGAGGCAGTAGAGTGCTCTATATTGCTGTGTGGATCAGAGTGCTGAACCCTGACTAAACTGCTCCAAGATAGTTGTTGGCATTTAAACTAGGTGTCTGAGATAAATGCTGGAAATTTTGTGGAAAGATAGGATCAGCAATGCAGAGGTCCAGAAGGGAACATATGGCAGTTGAGTGTTGTAGACATGATTGGGCCAAAACGGCTGTGGTGCGTAGAACCCGTGTGCAGGATAGGGTAGGGCCGATTACTGAGACAGGCAATGGATTGGTCTCAACAAGTCTGGCGAGATGTTGGCATGAGGCTGTCGGCGCATGTAGTGGGGGTCGCCGCGTGTCTCTGGCAGAGGGCAGAGCGCGCTGGTAACAACGTGAGGTGGTGGTGGCATCGGCTCTACCCACGCTGACACCTTGAATCACACGGCTCGATGCGCAAAACACACTTTGACTGAATCGATTAATAGATTTTAATCGAATATATTCATCATCATGGGTTAGGGGGTGGAGGGATGGTGCAGTAGTAACACCCATACCTCATAGCAAGGACAGGAGTTTACTTCCTGATTCCGGTGCCTTTCTGTGTGGTGTTTGTATGTTCTCCCTCTTTTCTGCACATTATTAATTTGGAATTGCACATCGCAAGATCACTCCCTTTCTGCGAAAACATAAAAGGACCCTCCTAAAAAAGTCTTGAGACTCGGCAAAGCTTTCCTGGGTTAACACACATAAGGATAATAATTATAATAATGGTAATGGTCAGGGTTTATCTCACCTGGGCATGGCCTCGTGTGGTAGCTGCATGGAGTTGGCGAACACCTCGTGGACCTTGACCACGTTGGGATGGCCACAGCACTGCAGGTGCAGCTTTATCTGGTCACCCACATCGCACACACCGGCGTCACACCACCATAACGGCCCAATGGCAGCGCGTTCCCCGCTTGTTGCAAGAGGTTCGCGGTTCGAACCTGGTGGGCCACTCTGGTTATTACCACAGTATTAACCGTATAATGATGCACACTGTATACTTCACAAATAGACATTAAAGATCCACTCGTCATTCAAAACGAGCAGGCCAGTGTGTGCCTGCGTCATGGTGCAAATTTGACAAATTCAAAAATGACACTGCAAATTAATCAATTGGGATGACAAAGCAGTGATCATTGCCCCGTATTAACAGACGAATGCCTGATTGCCGGCCAAGTGCGGAGTCATCTTTTGTGATACAAGGACAGCTGCTACTGCGGGTGCCCTTCGAAAATGTGTTGAGATGTATGCAAGTTGCTTATCGTGTGAGAAGCGCTCCGAGACGCCCGATGTTGTAAAGCAGGGCGGCTCAATAAAAAAAAACTCACTCCCACTACCACCACCATCACCTCTGCTGCATCCTTAGCCTGTCACTTCATGCACGAAGCTGCCTAGTAAGTTCCACGTTTGCATGCACTGCACTACGGTTTACTGCTGTGTGTGGACTGGACTGCAGCGTTTACAATATAAACCAAAGACGGTACATGTACAACACTGAATACACTGCTGGGTGTTGGCCTCCCTCTCCATGCCTTGCAGGTCATAGAGGTTGTTTGACCGTACTTCACCTTGTTGGTTAGTGCGGGTTCATTTTTTTTATCAGGTGAAAACTCATGGAACTAGGAGGAGTCTCATTTGCAAGAGTGACTGATGTACACCACCAACATCACAAAAGCAATAACATACAACTTTTTTCGGGATAATAAGTTGGCAGTGTTGCATAAGCACAAGTAACAAAAAAATAACATGTTCGACAATGACACTGTGGCATTAAAAGGTGGCATTTCGGACAATGGCCTTTCTTTATCATACATAGAGGCCAGAGAGATGGAGTGAATAACGGTTGGAGACTGCCATATTTAGAATAAAAATCAGAACACCACTGCATTCGTGAAATAAATTTAAAACAATGCACACACGTAAAACAACATTAAATCTAGAACATTTCTGTAAATGAAAGTCTGCTCAGACAAATTACTTTAAAATACCATTTGTAGTAAAATTACATTACAGAAACATCAAAATGTTTTTGGTGCGATTACTGTACAGGTATATAAACAGACAGTAGTGTGAGTCCAACACAGCTGCAAGTGAATTATCACACATAATTGATGGCTTAGAATCAATTTGTGATTTAGATGGAGAAACCAGGGACATTTTTGTTGCTGTGGAATTCCAGGTGTTATTATTTATCTTATTAACCCAGGACAGTCGAGTCTCAAGACTCTTTTGTTGCCCAGTGTTTGGGGCATTAAAATCAGTAAGCGTAAGGCATCTCAAATAGAATAAATATGAATAAGAAATAAGACACCTCATTGCGGGCCTTAGGCCGGTCCGGCAGAATCTTGAGTGCGAATCTCTCCCCGGTCGCCTTTTTGACGCATGGCCTGTGGGACACAGCGCAAACGTCTCCAACTGCAATGCAAAGTCCAGCACTCCTTGCCAATTGTCGATATTGTCTATTCTCGGGCAGTAGCACGTTCGCCACTTATTGCAGAGGTTAGTGGAATTAATCCAGCAGGCCACACCGGTTAAGTAACAAAATAACATGCATTTTCTCCATATCTAAATAGGAAGGAGGAATATTGACTGCATATTTAATGTATTTACATTCTCCACAACAACTCTAATGATTATTTTATGTTGTGTACTGTATAGTTGCGGGTCAAACTAGAATCAATATCTAAGAGTGTCCTTGTCTATAAATATCTGGATGTTCACCAACACTAGTTCAAGCAAGCCTGACTGCTGATATGACAATTAATTCTAAAACCGGTCCAGACATTGCTTGTGTTGAACCAATACTGCTGAAATGATGCACTCCCAGAAGGCCGTGCAGCTGAAGGGATGTGTAAAAAAAATACCTTTTAACGTGGAGGGGCAAAATATGGGTCAAAGTGAATTCCTGCTCAAACGATAATTTATGTGGTGCTCATCTCCTGTTTACAGCCCTGCGCCAGTGGAGAAAATTCTCCATTTCTATGGCGGGTGTGAGTTTTTTTCCAGAGGACAACCATTGTTGAGTCCCGCACAAAATGTAACTCATTATATTCTTGGTTCTTTCGGTAAAGTCACGTAAAATAGAATATAACAACAAAATTCAAGAATTACTCAACGATGGCAGCTATACAAAAATAAAGAGAGATCTCACCAACAGCCTCGTCATACAAACCAACAAAAGAATGTCTGATTCAACCGCATTAATTGATCAAACCAAACAGTTCTCATTGAAACCTTCTTCTGCCAGGCCACCAAGATTATACAGTTTACCAAAAATACATAAAGTAGATACACCCCTTCGTCCCATCGTCTCTATCAACTCCCCCACCTACAAACTGGCTCGTTTGCTGTCTGAAATCCTGCGGCCTTTCACTGGAAAAACCACCTCTGCGGTACAAAATTCTACTCACCTGGTAACGACAGTCAAGGGTATTTCCCTGTCCCCAGACGACCTGCTTGTCAGTTTTGATGTAGTTTCCTTATTCACCAAAGTTCCTGTACCTGACACCATCGCAATCATTGAAGACTTGGTTCATCAAGGACTAAACACTGAGGTACTCCCCCCCCTGGTGAGACACTGCTTAACCAATACATACTTCACTTGGAATGGAACTTTCTGCAAAAAAACTGAGGGCACCCCAAAGGGCTCCCCCCTATCTCCGGTTGTAGCCAACATTTTCATGGAGAAATTTGAGACTGACGCCATCCAGACTGCCACTCTGAGCCCAACCTTATGGAAGAGGTACGTGGATGATACTTTTGTCATCTGGCCACATGGCCGGCCTGCTCAAGACCAATTCCTCGACCACATCAATTCCATACACCCAGCGATCAGATTTACCATGGAAGTCGAAAAAGATGGCAAGCTACCTTTTTTGGATGTCCTAATAAAAAAGAGACCTGATGGTTCAATGAGCCACTCTCTCTACAGGAAAGCTACCCATACGGATGCTTACCTGAAACCGGATTCCCACCACCATCCATCCCAGAAGAATTCCCTCATCAAGACTCTGCACCACAGAGCCCAATGCATATCCGACCAGGAACACATAGCCAGTGAACTCAAGCACGTACACCAAGCTCTTAAGGCTAATGGTTACTCCGACTACACAATCCGCAAAGCTATCACTCCAACCATGAAGAAGGACCCTCTTGAGGAGCCATTCAAAACCATCACTTTACCCTACATTGCGGGGATCACAAAAAATATCTCCAAAATCTTGAATAAACACAAGATCCAGGTCCGATTCAACACATTACATAAAATCCGTGATCTGGTTCCGTCTGTAAAAGATGTGATTCCGGACATACAGTACCCTGGCGTCTACAAAATAAGTTGCCTCTGTGGTAGTAGTTACATTGGAGAAGCCAAACGACATGTCTCGGACCGCATCCGTGAACACAAAGCAGAACTAAAACATGGTAGGACCAACACCTCGGCCGTGGCAGATCACTCTTATAATTCAGTAGGCTCACATGACATTGACTTCTCCAAGACAGAGGTTCTCTGCAAGCCATCTGGCTACCATGAGAGATTCGTTCATGAGGCTATCCACATACACAAACACAGAGACAATTTAAACCGAGAAGATGGATTCTGGCTTAGCAATCATTGGAAGGATTTGATAAACCATTTCGGGTCTTAATTGATTGTTCACGCTTACGGTGGCTTTCAGACCGCATCCATTATTTTCCACTTCCCCCTCCTCTTTTCCGAACATAGATGGACTCGTCCATCTGAATAACTGCCAAATTGCTCTCCGTGGTGCTAACGTTAAAAAAACGCTACTTTTTCAAATTTTCTTGCTGTGGTTTTCACACCTGATGATGATTGCTTGTGTTTCAGTCGAAACGTCGTGATAATTTTGTTTTATATATATTTTCTTTTATTGTTTCCCTTCTACGTGACTTTACCGAAAGAACCAAGAATATGAATCCCTGCAGTCACGAACGCTTTAAATAAAAATGTAACTCATATTATTCGACCCTGGAGGGAGGGATGATGGGCTTAGTCTACACCAACTGCGATTTTAACTGTAAACCTTCCGATTGCGAGCCGCTCGCTCTACCGCTGAGCCAACTGGCTGGTTACAGACATTTGAACGAGGCGTGTTGATTGTCCACCTATTTGGTGAAGAGAAATAGTCGACAGGCGGCCGAGCCGGGTCGACGACCTCGCTTGGATTCCAAGTGACTGTGCAAAGCCATTCGTGAAACGAGAGACCGGAGGGAGAGGGGGATGGTAGAGCAATGAGCAGACACACGGGCAGTACCTAACGGGGCCGCTGATCCCCGAGCCGAGTTTCTGGTTCCACACGATGGTGTAGTCGTCGAGAATCGGCGTATGCTGGGAAAGGCGAAGCAAAAGTCAGGAGGGACCCTATGCCCACAAAGCAGTCTACAGATTCAACAAGACGCAGTGATGTGCGGCACGACAGTATACTCTCAGTCCTATCCAGACCTCCAGCTCAAGAGATCTTAGTGTGGCAGTTTAGACCATCAACTCAAAGGGTGAAGAAAAATTACCTGTCCCCCAACATTTACAGAATTGAATGAATGATCTAAAGTATGCACGACGGTTCACACACCCACGTACAACATAAAAACACAGACGCAACATACAAGCACTCACAACATAGAACGCATACCGCAAGTACTTGCATAACACGCACACAAACGTACAACACATCACCCACACAACAAACGCTCATGCAACACAACTGCAAAGCTGATCACATGCAGGTCCAAGCACGCATCACACAACACATACCAATATCCCCACACAAGACGTACAACACACCATTCACATTCCAACACAACACACACACACGACTGACATCACGTCACCCCACCACACAACACACTATATAACAACACACTATATAACACACACTCGACTGTACCGCATCGCAGCACAGTACACTGAGTACAAAATACCACGCCAAGTAAAACGACGCTCACACCAGGTAACGTGGCTCATTACCTCAGAACGAACCACGTTACCACATGGTCGGCCGCTGTACCCCAGGACTTCATCGTGTTACTTCACCACGAACCACGTTGCTTCGTTACCCCACCATACATCTTGTTACCTTGCCGAGACCCCGTTATCTGCGTCACCCTCGTCACCCGTTTCCTTAATGAAGCCGCATTACCCCAACTACCCTCGCCACCAGCGTTACCCCCATTACTCTTGTCTCCAGCGTTACCCCCATTACTCTAGTTACCCGATAGCTTGATGAAGCTTTGAAATATTCGTTAGCCGCGTCACCCTCGTTACCCGCGTCACTCTCGTTGCATGTTACCTTGATGAAGCCGCGTTACCCGTTACCCTTGATGATGCCGTGTTACCCTCGTCACCCGTGTTACCCTCGTTACCCGTGTTACCCTCGTCACCCGTGTTACCCTCGTCACCCGCGTTACCTTGATGGAGCCGTCCGCGTCGTCCCCGGACATGGTCGCCCAGCTGACGGGGTCGGGGGTCACCGCGCAATGGCGGCGCCGTCGCTTATACAATTCCCAGTGCGGATAAACAACGTATTTGTAATCCCCAGTGTGTATGAGAGTACGAATGTCCTGTCTTGTATTTCCCAGTCTGTATAAGAGTATTATCTTATATTTTCCAATATGTAAAAGTCTAGCCATGTATTCCCGTCTATCTTGAGGGATAATGTATATACAAGTCTGCATAGGCATCACGTTATATTTGCTAATCTGTATGTCTACTTATATACTTGTCAGTCTATATAAACATATTTCCCAGTTTTCATAAATGATCCATCACCGTTTGAACATTTAAACTCTGTATTCGTAACTTTGACTCGTAAAAGTCTTGTCAATAGACATCCAACTGTTTCACTTTTCATAAGATTGTTTATCTGGACGTGTCCATCAGGGCTCCATGGAGTACACGGGGTGTCGCTCCATGGAGTACACGGGGTGTCGCTTCGTGCAGCCTCGCCTCCTCGTCACTCTCCGGGCTAATTTGAAGGCTCATTGCCCGAAAAGTCGCACACTGTATTTTCCATCTTAAGGCCACAATATCAGTGAGGGATGTTTTGTTATATTTCCCGGTCAGCATGCCATGTACGGACCGCACATTCCGCAATGTCAATGATCTGAATCCATTGTTGAATGGGATACCTCTCCCCCCCACATTTGTGCGGGTCGTGGAGGGGGGTATTTGACCATACCTCACCGCGCTGGTCAGTACATACTAAAGGCGGGCAGCATAGACTCAAAAGCACAGTACTATGGATGTTTCTGCCGTGACCTGCTGCCCGGCCGAGTGGACCCCTCTGGCTACTGCTGCCGCTGTTTGCTGCGCGGGGAGCACCCCTCAGAGCACGGCTCAACTCTACAAAGATTTCCAGATCTGGCGAACAAATTGGTTTTCAAGTATAGACCTATCTTCTCTTTATAGACTCCGTAGACTGTGTAGGACGGTGTTCAGAGGAACTGCACTGGGTGGATGATAATGGTCCAAACCCACGCTCCTCTTTCGGCCTCGGTCTGACCTGGAATAAACTTCAACACAATGCCACCAGATTTCGGTACGGAAGCATTCCTGTTACCCGAACACGGCAGATGCTAGTTCTCGGACAGGTGGCAACCAGAGTGGATTATTACGTCGCTATTATCGTGAGAGGTCATGAGTCTTGGGGTGGCCTTCATCCAGCCGTGGATAGACCACGGCCGATGATGATGCACAGACCACGTGCTGTTGTTGACTCCGCGGGGATGGGCGTTTTGCCCGGATCGATTCCCGGCTCCACTCGCTACTGCCATAGATTCCCGTGCGTCGATCCGGGTCTCGTGGCGCTTGCTATGCCAAGTGCCGGATCGAGTGGAAGGATGGAAGATTCGCGGTACTGTTAATCGATTCGCGTGGATCGGATCGCTTGTGTGGAGCAGGGATTGTAAACGCAGGGAGAGGTCTTCCGTGGGTCGGGCTCCAGGAACCAGCCTCGGAATCTAGGTCCTAGGATTTAGTCTCCGAGTTGATCCAGGCCGTGAGCTCTCGGTTCTGTGCTCCCGGTTCCAGATTGAAGTCGGGCTTCAGCCGCTGGAATCCATTCTCCGCGCTGGTTACGTCTCGAGGACCCAGCCCCAGGGCTCAAGGTTCAAACTCAAGGCTCCGTTCGATATCTGTCCTCCAGTATCAGAACTGCAGGTTCTGTGCTCGCGGCTCTTGGAGGCCGCAGTTCCCGGGCCCTGGAGCCCGGGACCCGCTCGCGTCCCGAGTCCCCGCGCGGCCATGTGAGGCGGGGGGGCCCTGAGCCGAGCCGCGGCCCTGCCCGCCCGGGCCGTCCCCCATGATTTCCCGCAGGATTTTGCGCAAGCGCTGGCTCCTGTCCGTGGTGCTGGGCGCCTCTCTCATCTACTTCCTCAAGAACACCATCCGGCAGGCGGTGAGTTGTCCTCACACCGGCGCCCGTACTAACGCCAACCTTGCCTGTAGCCCCAAGCAACCCTAGCCTTGCCAATATCCTCCAACAATAACCCTCACCCGAGTCCTAGCGCTTGTCCAAACGCTAAACCTTCATTCCTTAACCCTCGAACTCTAGTCTCTATATATAACCCTACCTCTCAACGCTTGTTTACTGAAACCCTAGCCTAAATAAAACATCTACCAGTACCTACAGCTCAATCATTACCCTTAATCCTACATATACCTTGACTCGACCCTAAACCTCGAACACCCATCAGAGGCAGTGCCACACCAACTCTGCTCCCATTACCCCACACCTACTACCTGGACCCCAAATCTCCTCGGTCTATCCCCCTACTCCTAACTCTACCTCAAACCATCCCTATGACTCTACTCATAACTGTACACATAACCCTCGCCTCATTTATGACAAGTTTTTCATTAGCCCCCCCCCCCCACCACCGCTTTGCCCTAATCCCCATGTCTCCCACACAATGTCACGCTGACGCCCTTTGTCACTGATGCCTTGTGACCCTCGTATCACTCACCCTGACCCCTGCATCACTCTAACCCCCCCCCCCCTTATGGCCCACAGCAGGATGAGCTGACGGGGAAGGAGCGGTCCCTGCTGCAGGCACAGGACCCCCAGCGCCGCCTCGACTGGCGCGTGCGCTTCACGCCACACAACGGCAGCGCGGGACCACCGGGGCCTCCGGGCCGGTGCCGCAACTCGGTGCAGGGACGCATGCTGCTCACGGACGAGAGAGGCCCGTGGCCCAGAACACACACACGCACACAATGGGCCCACGCAGCAGCCTCTGCATGTGTGTCTGCTTTGTATGTCTGTTGACACCATAGACACTCTTGCAAATGAGATGTTTCATCCCAAGGGATTATGTTGGTTAAATAACTTAATCAATAAAAACATGGAAATAACCTTTTTCCACGTGAGCCTGGTCATTCTGGAACTAATGCTGCGTGTCTGCAAGCTTTCTATACTTCACCTGTCCCCACATTGTGTTTACGTTTGTGTGTTTGTGTCGCCAGGCTTCGTGTGTGAGCGGCGTGCGGTGCTGCCGAGCGGCTGCTGTAATGACAGTGCGCCGGGCAGTGCGCAGTACAGCTGCCAGGGCTGTCAGCCCAATGGTTGCTGCAGCATCTATGAGCACTGCGTGTCATGCTGCCTGCAGCCTGAACAGGTGAGGGGCACAGGGATCCTTGGGGGTTTGGTTGCTTTTGCTTGAGTTCTATTTTCTTCATTGTCGCATTTTTTTATTTTATTGTTGTGTCATTGTGATGACACAGGTCATTCACTTTTGCAAATTACACTCTCCTGGTCTCTTGAGTTTTCACCTGAATGTGAGATGCCATGGAGGAGGTGATGCTCAAGACGCGTGTGGCCTTGGTGCCCTTCCCAGCAGGCTGTGCTCGAGCGCTTCCTAGGCCACGCGGCAGCTGCATTCCAGAACCTCTTTCTGGCGGTGCGCGACCACTTTGAGCTATGTCTCGCCAAGTGCCGCACATCCTCACAGGTGAGAGGGCTCGCCACACCACGGGAGGGCACGCCAACTCGCACCATTCATAATAAAGCACCACCACAGTGCTTCCACACCATGGGATTCTGGTACTCCCCCCTCTCCCTCCCACTGACTGTCTGTGCAGAGTGTGCAGCATGAGAACACGTACCGTGACCCTCGTGCCAAGTACTGCTATGGGGAGGACCCCCCCGAGCTGCTGCCAGTGTGAGCCCGGCACCACCGAATCTGCTATCTCCTTGATGGAGCCCGCACCTCCAGCGAGCAACAGGTTGTGGCAACGCTGATGGTCTCCATCTATCTCCTTGAGTCTCCACAAGTCTCCATGTGTCTCCAGGGAACTGGTGGAGATAAAGAAACTAGCACCAGGAAAAACATTCCATGGTTGTAACTGCAAATTGTCACACTCTGCAACTATCCCACCTTCCATTTCCCCTGCTTGCCATGACCATCGCGGTTGTTGATGCTGTATTTATAATTAAATTATGCACAATGTATAAAAAAAACAACCCTGCCCCAATGATCCCTGTATTGGCGCGATGTCACGCTCTACGTGGGTATGAGCGGTGTGTAAATAAGTTACCGTCAATAAAGTGTTTGTGTTCTCGGGAGCTAATGTTATTTAACAAGAAAGCTACACTATGTCTGAGGAGCCACACTGCAACAGGATGTTTGGCCAACAGAAGACATTGTGTTTAGGAATGGGAAGAAACCCGTGTAGTGCATGGAGAGGACCTACGAACTCCACACACAAACACATTTTAGCACGCCAAGAGAAATGTCCCCCATTTTTAGCCTTAACACAACAGCCAAGTGCTGTTAGCGAGCACCTGTGAAGGCCTGTACGGCACACGAAAAGGCAGGTGGCAAACACCATACCCAGCCGCCATTGTCTCCTTAATGGCATGTTTACACCGCACCAGGAACCTCGGACAGGTTCAGATATTCGTTACTGGTGTTGCACGTGAGTGGGAATCTAATTTTGGGTGGCTGGGTTCGTAGTACAGCCCACAAACCGCTACACCACTGCTTCCTGTGCACTACATACTCGGGTCAGCTCCTTGTTGAGGGACGAGTGTTACCAGTTCCTCCACTGGATACCAATTGACCTCCCAAGACCCATTTGCTAATCCTCTGCTGGATGAGGTCCTGCAGTGTGGCTCGTGGAGGGTCATATTGGTCAGTGTGGGTTTGTGAAGGTTCAAGAGCGTTTAACCAGGGGAGAACTCAAGATATCAGGATAGTCTCCTTTGGAAGAGTGACCTGGGTTAGCAAAATGAGCTTGGCCGTGGGCGCAAGAGGTCCCAATGGCTGTTGCTGTGCAGACCAGGGTGGCTCAACCCTGCACGCGCGGTGCTCGCTTATCCCGCTCAGGCTCAAATCTGCTTGGCTTCTGTCATTCATCTTCTTTGGTTCTTTCGGTAAAGTCACGTAGAATGAGAATAATAAATTGATAGAATAAAATGATAAAATTCTCACGACGTTTCGGCCACAACACAAGCGGCCTTCATAAGGTGAAGGGACGAGACTGTCTGGAGGACAGCGCTGGAGTGAGTAAAGCCACGCTTAGATCACGACCTTTAAGCTTTTTGAGGAAGGTCAGCGTCTCGATGAGCTGTGACTTCTTGTCCCGTTGTCTGTTAAAATCTCTAACAGATAGGTGAAAGCCTTCCCCATAGAGGTTATCAATTCTAGATTTAAAGCTTTCGTGACTGCTAGGAGACAACAGAAGAACTCCCTCATCAAGACTATACCATAGAGCCCAATGCATTTCCGCCCAGGAACACATTACCAGTGAACTCAAGCACGTACACCAGGCTCTCAGGGCTAATGGTTACTCCGACTACACAATCCGCAAAGCCATCACTCCAGTCATGAAGAAGGATCCTCTTGTGGAGCCACTCAAAACCATCACCTTACCCTACATTGCAGGGGTCACTAAAAAGATCTCCAAAATCCTGAATAAACAAGATCCAGGTCCGATTCAACACAGTACATAAAATCCGTGATCTAGTTCCATCTGTAAAAGATGCTGTTCCAGACATACAGTACCCGGGCGTTTACAAACTAAAGTGCCTCTGTGGTAGTAGCTACATTGGAGAAACCAAACGACATATCTCGGACCGCATCCGTGAACATAAAGCAGACTTGAAACACGGTAGAACCAACTCCTCTGCCGTGGCAGATCACTGTTATAATTCAGTGGGCTCACATGACATTGACTTCTCTAAGACGGAGGTTCTTTGCAAACCAACCGGCTACCATGAGAGATTCGTTCATGAGGCCATTCACATACACAAGCACAGAGACAATTTCAACCGAGAAGATGGATTCTGGCTTAGTAACCATTGGAAAGATGTTTTAAACCATTTCCGTTCTTAATTAATTGTATTTTACGATGACCTTCAGACAGCAGCTCTTTCGCTGGCATTGACTTTTAATACCTCTCACACCACGGTTAATGGTATGGTTTACAACATGGAGTATAACAGCGCCTCGCAGCTGTCTCTCTCCCCCTCCTCTGTTCCGACCATGGATGAACTCGTCCGTCTGAACGGGGCCCGTAGCTATCCGTGTTGCTAAAATTGAGGGTAAGAATCCACCCATTTTTTCGCCATATAGCATTGTGATATATAACGACTTATTGTTGGTAGCTTAGCTGATTGGAGAATATATATAGTTTATTGATAACATTGAGGTAATTTATATTTTAGTTTTTTATTGGTTCACTATATAGTATTCATTATATATTGTAGTGTATACCCAGTTACTGTGAATAGCTCAGATGTGTAGGCCTTGACTTCAACATAGCCATTTCTGTGACCAGTCACAAGCTAATCACTCAGTTATTTCAATGCTGAATTCTCCTGTTTGATTTGTACTAGGTGCCTCTGTGAATGTGTATGCTCTGACTTTATCATAGCTATTTCTGTGACCAGTTACAAGCTAATCACTCAGCTATTTCAATGCTAAATTCTATGCTAATTCCTTTGTCAAGGGGTGCCTCTGCGGATGTGTATGCTTTAACTTTAACATAGCCATTTCTGTGACCAGTCACAAGCTAATCACTCAGCCATTTCAATGCTAAATTCTATGCTAATTCCTTTGTCAAGGCGCTTTGTTTCTTCTTCTTTGGTTCTTTCGGTAAAGTCACGTAGAATGATAATAAAATAATAAATTGATAAAATAAAATAACACAATAATATTCTCACGACGTTTCGGCCACAACACAAGCGGCCTTCATCAGGTGAAGGGGGCGAGACTGTCTGGTAGGACAGCGCTGGAGTGAAAGAGCCACGTTCAGATACGGCCTTTAAGCCTCAAATTTGTTTCTTCTCACACAGCTTAAAGGTCGCGATCTGAGCGTGGCTTTTTCGCTCCAGCGCTGTCCTCCAGACAGTCTCGTCCCTTCACCTGATGAAGGCCGCTTGTGTTGTGGCCGAAACGTCGTGAGAATTTTATTGTGTTATTTTATTTTATCAATTTATTATTTTATTCTCATTCTACGTGACTTTACCGAAAGAACCTAAGAAGATGAATCCTTGCAGTCAAGAAAGCTTTAAATCGAAATTCTGTCATATTCTCGGTGATTTTGGTAGAGGCTGAGAGACCATACTGGGATGGATGAATAGCGGATCCTGGATGACCACGCAGGTATTGGGGATCGGGTGGCTCCCTCGGAGAGGAGCCCCCAGATGCAGTCGCCTCGTCATTGAACCCGCGACGTGATGTCACCGCGCATGCGCACACGCGGCGCGCGAGGAACAATAAAATCCCGCGCGGAGAAGGCCCGGCTCCCGCTCGCCCTCTCCTCGCTTTAGCGCCCACAAGCTCCATTATTGATCTTCCGCGCTCTCCAGCTCTCCCTGTCACTCTCCCGCACTCTCGTCTCTCTTCAGCGCCCCCACCCAGTTCTCTCCCGATGTGTCCCGCTCTTTTCAACTCTCCCTGAAGCTCCCGCCCGATAACTCTCCCGCCATCTGCGTCCCGCTTCTCTCTGCCGGCAGCCCCTCCTTGGCCTCAGGCCGCGACCAGGGTCCCCTCTCCCCAGTCGCGGGTCCGCGGTCTCCGTCATCCCTGTAGTCCCCTCGCTGCGCCTAGGTTCTCTCAGACCCAGTCGTCGTAGGCCTCAGATTTCACTGGTGGGCCTAGGGCCCTCCGGTGGTCTCAGGGTCCCTCAGGGCCCCGGCCATGGCCCCCGTGGACCGCTATTCGCTGCGGGTGAGCGCAGCGGTGGCGCAGGGCGGCAGGAGGTACATGGAGGATGCGGCCATGGTGGTTCGGGAGAGGCTGAGGGGCCAAGAGGTCACGTTCGTCGCGGTGTTTGACGGCCACGGAGGTTCCGAGGCGGCGCTGTTCGCGAGGCAGCACCTGTGGGCCGCGCTCAGGAGGGACCGGCAGCTGCTGTCGCCGCAGCCCGAGCGCGTGTGCGGGGCCCTCAGGAAGGCATTCATCGCCACACACCGCGCCATGTGGCACAAGCACCGTGAGTGGTGGAGGTGGGGGGCTGAGCGATGGATGAGAGGCTGGGGAGGGGGGCCTAACATGTGAGAAATGAGGGGCTGGAGGGCAGAGCAGGGACAGGTGAGAGTTGGGAGAGGTGGTGTGGGTTTTGAAAGTGATGGGCAGTGCTGCCATTTGCGCATGTACTGGAGTGCGTGGATTTGGATTTAATTCGCGCTCTATCTCGCCTCGTCTATCTCCACCCTCTCCCTCGCATCCCCAGCCGAGTGGCCACGCACGGTGAGCGGCCTCCCCAGCACGGCGGGCACCACGGCTACTGCGCTGCTGTTCCGGGGCTCCCACCTCTACGTGGCGCACGTAGGGGACTCGGGGGCGGTTCTGGGAGTGCGGGGGGGACCCAGCGGGACCCTGCAGGCCGTCGAGGTGACGCGCGATCACAAGCCCGAGTGTCCACGAGAAAAGGAGCGCATCGAGCGCCTGGGCGGCAGGTATAAGAGTGGGGGCCCTGCAGAAACGGCGGCCACTGTAACCCCAACCCATGTCTCTTCACGCTCACCTATAAAACAATGCTGCTTTACTGATTCCACCAATGAAACCCATTCTGACTTATTGACAGGGTGGTAAGACTCACATGCGTGTGGTGAGGAAGGGTGGTGAGGAAGGGTGGTGAGCAAGTCTCGCGTGTGTGTATTGTGAGACAGGGTGGTGAGTAAGGCCGGTGTGGAGCGCGTCGTGTGGACCAGGCCGGTGCTTGCCCACACGGGGCCCGTGCGACGCAGCACGGCCGTGGACCACATCCCCTTCCTCGCCGTGGCACGCGCCCTCGGTGAGTACGCAACTCGCTACGCAACTCGCTACGCAACTCAACTGTGCCTCCTCACTGCAACTCGCTTCAGAGGAACGCGGTCATAGAGAGTAGCCCATTGGCTTCGTGCCTCTCTCCCCGCGTCTCTTTCTCTCCGAAGGGGATCTGTGGAGCTACGATTTTGGCCGCGGGGAGTTTGTGGTGTCCCCGGAGCCAGATGTGTCAGTGCGGACCATCGACCCGAGTCGTGACGCCCTCATTGTCCTGGCGAGTGACGGCGTTTGGAATGTTTCGTCGCCCGCCAGCACCGTCAGCACCTGTTGGGACGAGTGCGAGCGCCGCGGAGGGGTTGGTGTCACACACAGACAAAGATTCCATCTGGAGCATTGTGTAACGGTTGTCCCAGCCTTGTTACTATACAAATAGATGCACAAACGCGTGCACACATGAACAGATAACTGCAAAAAACAATTAGCGCACACCGACAACAACAGCCCACTAAATGGTGGTGACATCACCACGGCACTTGTGCCAAGCTAGATGCACGAGATCACACGCCTGACAGGAGATCACAGGACGGAACCAGGTGTTATGGGTTGACGAAGTGAGATGATTGGCAGATGCGCACCGCGTGTGCTCCCCACTGTGCCAACTTTCTGATTATGAGCATCGCTCCTCCGCTCTCTGTTGGTAGGAGGCTGGATTCACCTAGCCTGGCACTGCCCAGTAGCTTCCTTCACGAGCCACCTCCACAGTGGCCAATCTCTGCTGGTACCATTCAATGGCAAGTCCAATCTGTTCCAAATCCTGTACTGCATCAACCTGCTGTTTTCACACCTTTAGCTACAGACCATCTCATACACACACATTTGTGTAAATTAGCGTGTTCCTTATTTTCAAAATGTTTCATGATTGGGATTGTTTCTTGATGAATATTGCACAACTGTAATATTTTTGCCTTTTCTAAGGATCTTCTTTGGTTCTTTCGGTAAAGTCACGTAGAATGAGAATAAAATAATAAATTGATAAAATAAAATAACACAATAATATTCTCACGACGTGGCTCTTTAACTCCAGCGCTGTCCTACCAGACAGTCTCGTCCCTTCACCTGATGAAGGCCGCTTGTGTTGTGGCCGAAACGTCGCGAGAATATTATTGTGTTATTTTATTTTATCAATTTATTATTTTATTTTATTCTCATTCTACGTGACTTTACCGAAAGAACCAAAGAAGATGAATCATTGCAGTCACGAAAGCTTTAAATCGAAAAATTTTCTAAGGATGTTTAGGGGTCTGTACTATGTGCCTTAATGCACACACACAGCCTCCTCCCACCTCGACCCGTGTATCTCCCCGGACGTGCAGGTGGAGCGGGAAGGAGCGCCGTCCCTGGCCGGCCTGCTTGTGTCACACGCCCTAGCTCGGTGGCGCGGGCGCATGCTGCGTGCCGACAACACCACGGCCATCGTGATCCGCGTACTTCCGGCCTCACCACAGGGCGAACGTGGCCCGGCCGCCCCCCTCTCCCTCCTCCTGCCCCCCCCACAGGTTTGTCCGCCAGTGTGCGGTTGCTGTAGTTGTGACGATGTGACTGGTGCGGCGGTGGCGATGTGACCGGTGCGTGATGCTCCTTTATGCACGCAGGGCACAGATTTCGACAGTGGCCGGGAACTGGCCATGACCATCTCTGAAGAGGCCTGCGATGAGGGCCTCGATGCTGGAGAAGAGGATCTCACCGGGGGAGGGGTTGGGCTCGTTGCCTGTGCCGCCGTGTGCCGTGAGAAGCGGAGTTCCGGGCACGTGCATGACGTTGAGCTCACTACGGCGTCCGCGCGTCCATCCCGTCTGGGTTCGACGAGGCCTTCGCAGGGCCCCCCGGCCCCCCACGACGGGGCGGCCACTGCCGTCACGTTATTAGACAGATGGGGCACGGAGCCCCCCTCCCCGTCGGCCGTGAGGTCCTTCGGCCCCCTTTCCACCACGTGTGCGCGGGTCAAGGGAACCCTGGGGGAGTCGAGCGTCCCCAACTCGGCCCTCCCTGCCAAGAGTCCCCGGTGGGGGGAGGCGGGGGGCGCCGGGGGGCCCAAGCCTAGATTGGCGGGGGGAGGCGGCAGCACCGCCGCTGGGCGTCGGTGGCGGCGCCGGCCACGCAGGGTAAACGGCGCGGCCGCCCGGTGCGCCCGGACGCTCCCCGTCGCCACTACGAAGACAACAGCGATCGGCGTGCGATAGGGATCACCGGAAGGGGTCAACGAGAGGGTTCGGTGATGGGAGTCAGTGGGGGTCAACTGCCAGGGGTCACGTTCCACCTGGTGGAGTGGAGGGGTAGCTGTCGTGGTGCTCAAGGCTCTTGTCCCCACTCTTTTAATCGGTTGCTGTGTGCTGTGGGAGAGTGTTGCTACGGGTTGAGTTGTCGTGAGATGTAGGTGTCATCTGCCTCGTTTATAATTTCTATTTGTTCAAATGGATGGGACGAACAAACGTGTGAAAACGCATCTCAAGGACGAGATGAAAAGTTATCATACTCGTGTCTTTTATATTTGTTCGGACTAAATGCATTTTTGTTGCAGTGAAATGAAGTTTAAATAAATTACGCGTGACGGCTCACAGCAAATTACTCCTAATTGAGACGCTAATGTTATTGGCAGAAAGTGCCCGTGACAGATAATTCCTCTTGAAAACGGTGAAACTCGTTCAACTTTGGGTGGCAGCGCGGTGGAAACACTCGTGGCCCATAGAAGTACCTTGGTTTGACTCCTGACTCGGGTGCCTCTGTGTGGAGTTTGTATGTTCTCCCTCTGTTCTGCATGAGTTTCCTCCAGGTTCTACTTCCATAGCTAAAATAAAAAAAAAACATACAATGTAAGCACCTCTAATGAGCATGGTTGGGTATGTACGGTGCAAAAGAAGTTCGACATAGAGTATTGGCCAAACAATGCAGAAAAATCACCTTCAAATTGGGATCGCACAAAGCAACATCACCCCAAACTGACAAATTTGCAGGACCCTCCTGAAAAAAAGTATTAAGCCTTGGATGGGATATTCTGGGTAAACGGGGGTAATTATAAAAATAATATTTGTACCTTTTATCCTTTCCATTTATTTTGTCATTTTAAAAGCAGTGCGAGTCGTTACTGTCGTGATGGGTGCTGCAGGCCCTGTGCCATGCCTCAATAAAAGTTTCTTCTTTCTCCACATGGGCTGCTGTCTTCTCTGGGAGCTGGGCCTCATCTCGAGGCCCCGTTATCTACAAGAAGGGTCGAGTCACTGCTCACGGTGTGTGGCTCCATTCGACATTTCTAAAACGTTATTTTCGGCTCAAATGAGCAATGAGGCACAGATGCTCGTCTCGTTTACTGCCCGCAGCCAGTGATGGAAATTCCTCATTGTCAAGTCGGGGGCGTGTGTCAATCAGACACCTGCCTTTGACTTCTCTACAAAGTGCTACTCATTTTTACCGACTGGAGGGAGGGATTAGTCAACCCCCCAAATCAGGATTTTAACTTGCAACCTTCCAATTGGGTGCCATCCACTCGACCGCAAAGCCACCTGGCTGGATTTTTGTTGAAAGCGGAGATATGTGACGAGAGAGCGAGAGCTCTGCACCAACGGTAACTCCCAAGATACTCGTAAGTGAAGCCTCGAATCGCTTCTAGACTCGGGTGCTTTTCTGTGTGGAGTTCTCTCCCTGTTATGCATGAGTTTGTCCAGATTATCCGGTTTCCTTCCATGTCATTCTCCAAGCATCCCAATGCTGAAAATTTTCCTGCAAATTACTACATTTAACACAACAACATGGGCCCCCGACTGCGACAACTTGAAAGGGACCTGAAGGAGTCGAGAGCACGTGATCTCACAATGAACGATCATTAACGGCGCTAATGCTCATTTCGTGCCGTCCATGTTTGGGTTTTTCGTTTAACTTGGACCCATACCTAGCAGAGAGCTTCCTTGCCCCTAAACCCCTGGTAGTTCACCTGCATTGGTGGTGGCGCATGGGAGCTGGTGGCTGTGCTGCACGTGCCTGCTGTAACTCATGCAGAATATAGAGAGAACATACAGATGGTCAGCACCCATCACGACAGGAGAAGGCAGTACAGCTGTACGGGGATAGAGTGCGGCGCCATCACGCAAGGCGTGGGTTTTATCCAGGTGCTCCAGTTTCCTTCGCCTTGGTATAATAAACACAACTCGTCGTTAATTGGCAGAGAACATCTTAAAATAAAAACCCAATGCAGCAGCAGTACCGTCCTGCAAATGAGTCCTTAAACTCAGTGTGGCTCTCCTGAATAAATAAGTATATTAATATAGCATTGGTTAAAGCCAGCTGGACTGCTGATACGACTGGAGAAGGGACCCAGTAATTCCGTCTCCCGACTTCGCTCGTCGCTATCCCCGCGACAGCCGCTAGATGGCGCCACAGACCGCGCCCTGGGTCGGAGAGACGGGGTCAAGGAAACGAGACTCGGAAAAAGGCGACATGGAGGCAGGAGACAGAGCGGATACAGGCAGACAAACGAATGGAGACAGAGAGACGAAGAGACCGAGAATGTGAGGCCCCGTTGCTCTAACCTTTGGAATATCGGGGGTTCTCCTTTCCCCTCTGTCCCTTTAAAACCCAGCGGGGTCTGTGGGGACTCAACGGGGTCTGCGTTGGGGGTGAGCGGTGTCGGGGTGGAGGAACAACAGGGTCCGAAGGGGGGCCCTGGGATCCCGGGAACGGTGCGCGTGCATGAGTGCGTGGAGTGCATGGATTGCGTGAAGAGCTCACAGATCCTTGAAAGATCTGGACATAGTCCAAATCGGTGAGCTCCTCCGGCAAGCGAGTCTGAGTTGGCTGGGTTATGCAATCCACATGCCCAGCCACCGCATGCCCAAGGAGCTTCCGTTTGGCCGGATAGAGGGGTCTAAATGGGCGCGACACGGGCTAGAGAAGAGATGGGCTGATGCGGAACAGGAGCGTGTGGGGCTGGGTGGGCTTGCCAACGACCGGTACCAGCGGTGTGAAGATCGGTCTCTGTGCAGGAGGCTCGTGAGTGGCCCTGCTGGGCAGTTTGAGGCAGTCACCATCGAACAACAGCGGAGGGCGGAGGAGCGACTGCTCACAACAATGTGCAGAGCGCCAAGCGAATAAAACGCAGCAAGTTGGCACAGACGAGAGCACATGTGGAGCATCTGCCAGTTATCTCAGTTAACCCATGGCATTTGGATCTGTTCTGTAACCTTCGGTCAGCGAGCCTTCGACACTTCACGTGGCCTCAAGATGCACCTAGCCTGGCACAAGCTCCGTGGTGACGTCACCGCCACTTAGTAGCGAACAGCGGCTGTTATTGTGCACGTGTGCCCCGCGTCTGTGTTACATGATCCATATCCACGCTTTTGAGTCAGAGTTGATTTAGACGCGGTGATGGCGATGATGGCGGTGATGTTTTTGCCCCCCTCGGCACCAGCACCGCGAAGAGGTCGCGGGTTTAAGTGAATACTGGTTCAGGTGAATGCGGGTTTAGGAAATCAGCACGGGTTTCGATGGATGCGGGCTAAGCTGAACGTGCGGTTGTGTGAGTGAGAAGGGAGAGTGAGATATTGTGAGTGAGTGAGTGGTTGTGTGAGTTAGTGAATGAAGGCTCGTTTGAGTGAATGTATGGTTGGGGAAATGAGGCAGTGTGTGAATATATGTGAGTGTTTGTGCGAGTGATTGAGTGCGACTACATGTGAGCTAGACTGTGAATGTGTGTGAGACTGACAATGAGAGTATGATAGAGAATGTGTTTGATAGTGTGAGAGAGACTGTGTTGGAGTGAGGGTGAGAAAAAAGTGTGAGTATGACTCACACACACTCTCACACGTGTGACCGCTGTTTCCCCTTCATGCTGGTAGCGAGAGGAAGAAGCAAGGATATCATCATTGACATGGCCAATGTTCTAATTTTTATGTTTCCGCGTGTTCATCCAGGAGAGCCTCGCTGAGTCTCGAGACGATTTTTTTCGAAGGCTCTTGCCAAGTTTTCAGTAAGGGCCAAATCGCTGCTGTTTGTGAGCCTAATTTAGTACTTTGCAGGTAACTTTTCAGCATTGGGATGTTTGTCAAATGCCTGTTCAGAATCTGTATTTATCCGGGAGAAATCCGATGAGCTATGAAGCTCTTTTTCACAGATGTCCAGTAGGGGCTGATCAGAAAGTTACAACAAACAACACAAACATCGATAGGAGTGCAAAGTATAGGGAAAGTAAATACATTACTAAAAGTAAGTATATACGTTCAAATTGCATAAGTACAAGCTTTAACAATGCAGAAAAACAACAGCAAAAGCAGTCCCAGACCACACCAAGACAACACACAGTCCCTCGATAAAATTGCACATACAAATTGAACTATCGATACACGGGTAAGGATCAGAGTTACAAACCACATTGGTAAATGTGGCTGTATCCAGCACTCATCTTTTGTTTCAGTGGTTTGATTACCTTTCCTATAAGTTTGCACTCCTATCGTGTTTTTGTATTTTTTGTTGTTGTAACTTTCTGACCTGCCCCTACTCGACATCTGTAAAAAAATAGGTTTTATTGCTCCACGCATTCCTCCAGTATAAATACAGATTTTGATTCTGATATTTTTTAAAGGAAGATTTATTATGTTAAAGGAGGAAACAATTATTTTCTAAAGCTTTGTCACCTATTCCAATTCTCGTTTTTGGGATAGTTAAAAGTCAATGATATGCACGTCTTATATTTCTTCAGTTTGGCAGGGGGTTATTGAATTAGCTAAGTATTACTCAGATTTGCCAATAAGGATGTTATGGATGAACAGGGCCCAATGCAGATGTCGTCTTGCATCCAGAGATGTTAGATTTGATTTTAAGTAGAGGTCACAATGGTGGGTCCGACATGGTACATCAAGTGCAAATGGAAGAGCAGAATGATAAAGGGGGTTTAGTGTTTCATTAGCCGCTGATCTGTAAACGGCGTCATACTAGTAAAAAATGGCAGGTCTGTCCCTTTCACCTGAAGAAGGTCACTTGTGTTGTGGCCGAAACGTCGTGAGAATGTAATTGTTTTATTTTATTATTTTATTCTCATTCTACGTGACTTTACCGAAAGAACCAAAGAAGATAGTCAAAAATGGTAGAATGATTAGCTATGGGAGGAAATCGGAGAGGAAACCCATGCAGAACAGGGGGAGATAACACACAAACTCCACACAAGAAAGGCACCCGGGTCGGGAATTTAACCGAGGCGCGTGTGGATGAGAGGCGCGAGTGTCCCTCCCCACTGCGCCGCCTGCCGCCCGCCGCCCATGCACAAGAGAGGAATCGGATCCCGCGAGGCCGAGAGAGCGCGGAGCTGCGAGTCGCTCGGCACTCATCTCGCGTGCCGAGCGTGCGACTCGGGAGATGATCCCATTGCCTCTCCAGGGACTCCCCAGGTGACGCGCGCGTGTGTGTGTCTGTGTGCGTACTTGCCCCAAAAGTCTGTTAATGCTATAAGGGCGATCTTTGTCTTTCTCTGTGTGTGTTCAGATACATTTACAATGGTCAAGGCACAAAACGTCGGTATGATGTTTAACGCCTGTGGCGGTTCATCTTCAGAGTTCATCCGTTCGGCGAAGATCCATAGCCATTAATATCTACGTATATATGTGTATGAATATGTATGAATACATATATATGAATACATATATATGCATATATTCGTGTTTTCACCGTGCGCGTCTTATTCACTTAGCGAGTGAGCATCCACTCTCTACAATATTGCTGTGTTGGAAGTACTGCTCAAGCACAGACAACAATAGATTACAATGCGCTTCTGCGCGCATATATTTGTGTATGTCTTTGTATTTGGGTGTAATGTGTATTTATGGTAGATTCGTGTGTATGTGTGAATTCATTGGGGGGAAGGTTTTGGCATGTCCTGGGCCTCCCCTAGCTTAACTCGCCCGTAAACCAGACGATTGGTGCGGTGTGTAAACATCACCACTGGAGAGACGAAAGCGGTCGGGCAAGGGCTGTTAGCGAGCAACTATGAAATCCGGCACGACATACACGAGGTATGGTGGGTGGCCAACACGACGATCGGCCGCCTTTATCTCCCCAGTGCTGATGTTCAGACACCACAGCAGATAGGACAGACTCATTGAAGGCTGAGTCGATATTGGGGAAGGTTCCACGACCGTTTCAGGTATTTGACAACAGTTATTGG